GTTGCCGTACGGCATCAACACACTTCTCAAGCCGCCACTGATTAAGTCCCCCACTTCAGACGGAGGCCGGGAAGAGTATTGACCAGACCTTGCACCAACATCAGATCCACTGCCTTGGGCTAATCTCATTCGAAGGACTGGGAATCGTTGATCCACTCACCGCTTGTCAAGGAACTCTCGAGCAATGAGTCCATCACTGATGAGGATAAAGTGCTGCAGACCGACCCGAAAATATACCAGTGGACCATACTCCCTTTTGGAGGAGGACCCAGTCAGTCAGTCCAGAGGCATCACCGTCGATCTTGAAATGGAGGCTCCATACCTCGCCCAACTGGCCATGGTCTCCCACGGCTTTTCGGGGGGCATGTCAAAAGTCATGCCCAGCAACGGCCACCGACCCTTTGGTCCTGGGGGCAAGGGAGGTCGTCGCCATGAGCTGACGACCTTGAAAACAACTAAGAGCCCTATACAAGCACCCACCGCAAAGAGAGGGACCATAGCGGGAAGGGAACTTAACTTTTTCTCTGCTGAATGGATCTCAATTGAAGAAAGAGGAGCACGAAAAGTTTGAATGGTCATTTTTTGAGAACATCACTCACCATCCAAATAACAAGTTCCACACAGAGAACTTCGGGGGCTACGAATCATAGTGCACTGTGCGCCACAACATGCATGCTACATAAACGGCCGTGACTATCCGCATGGAGATGCAACAGAACCGCTGGGGAAATCCAGGAGCAACCTCGGCGGAGTTGCGACCACCACCTTCCCATCCCGAAGGCTGACCATCCCTCTTAGATTTGTTGTTTGGGGGTTGAATCCGGGGTAGGATTGAGTGGGGAAGGTACTCAGAAGAAATGAGCTCGTATGTTTGAATAAGGGCCGCCGACTGCAGTGAAAGTTATCAGTACAGGGTCCTTATCCCTTGATCTTCGAGTCAGTCAGGTAGATAGAGCTCGTGAGAGAATGAGAATGTTGAACGCAAAGAATTGCTGTCACACCGGCAAACCTGTCCCAGGTGAGTGGCGCAGGTCACATGATCTAATGTAATACTCAGCCTTGTGTCGCCCCTGAGGCTGAGCCTCGAGGGGATTTATCTGTGCTGACCACTACATCTAGATTCCTATATACCTTTGGGAGAATGTATAACCATCCGGGATATCCGAGTGTACTCATCCAACCGTCCCGCCGATGTTCCCAGTCGCGGACTCTTGTTACTTCTACCCGATGGTTTTGGCCTTGCGCGGCACAACCTCATCCTCGCGGACCGCTTTGCGAGTGAAGGATGGCACGTGCTCGTGCCCGACTACTTTGAAGGCGACCCGTTGCCAATCCAGTTGCTGCGTCGTGACCACGCTCTGTCCATCGACGAGCAGCCCTGGCCGGAGGAGGACAAGCAGAAGCTGCGCGATCTCGACTTCCCGGCGTGGTTGCAACGACACAATCACCCGCGGGTCTCGTCGCTTCTGAACGACCTGATTGCTGGACTGTCGGAGCAGGCCAAAAACACCACCATCGTGGGTGTCGGATACTGCTTCGGCGGCAAGCACGTTCTGAGACTGGCGAAGTCGAGTCTGAAAGCCGCGGCAGCATTTCACCCCAGCTTCGTGGAAGCCGAAGACGTAGCGGGCATTCAAGTACCACTGTACGCTGGTCTCGCGGAGAAGGACGACATGGTCCCAGTCTCATTGCCCGAGGACCTGCAGGCATGGGCCGTCACGAAAATGAAGGCAAATATTCCATTCACCATGGAAATCTATCCGGGCGTGGGCCATGGGTTTGCAGCAAGACCTGACACCAATGACGACGTTATTCGGACGCAGTACGAGAGAGCCTTTCAGAAGAGTGTGGAGCATTTGGCAAAAACTGTAGGCGGGGAGAACTGAGGCTTGCCAGATTTATCAGAATGGGTGTTGCATGCATGCACGTCCCAGCCTGCATCCAGATCACTTCAACCCCAATGTATTCAGTAGACAATGGGAGGAAGCTTTCAACAATAGCACGATTGAAAACTAATATTGTTGGTCACATTTCATGATCTGACGAAAAGAGTACCAATAGTAAGCGTTGTAGTTTCAAGAGATGACATGCTCTTCTGGGGATTCTTGAAAGACAAATTCACCGTGTTGATTAAACATCTTACCTTCCTTCCGAATGTTTCCTCTTCTTTCATCCACCGATAGTCGTCCAGCCTACTTCCCCCTCTCGTTTAAAATCAGTCAATAGCCACCCTCTTCAACGGCTTCTCGATGACCTCCCACTCCTTCCAGTTGATGTTTGCCAGCATCTGGCGAAATTGCCACCACGTCCACGGCATCGTATACGTGTTCCAGCCGGCATCATTCTTGTAGTACGTGACACAATCTGGTCTCGCCCACACGAACCTTCCTGCCTGCTGTCGCTGTACTTCGTCATTGTATCTCCTCTCGACGGCCCTTTTGGGGTGCATCGCGAATTTGACACCCTTTCGTGCCCGCAGAACCGACTCCTTCACAGCCTTGGCGGCGAACCGTGCTTGCTGCTCCCAATTGTCCTGCTGCGATGACCAGACGTGGGCCGAATTGGGCCCGAAGCAGTAGAACATGTTGGGAAACTGGCTGGAAGCTAAACCGTACAGGGCTTCGGGATGATCCTTCCACTTGACCTGGAGGTCGAGCCCCTTCAGGCCCGTCACCTTTTCATGTTCGAGAAATTGAGCCACGTTGAACCCTGTGCCGAAGATGATAACATCATACAGGCGCTCGGTTTCCTTCCCAGTCGTCTTGTCAGTAGACACTACCCCCCCTTCGGTGTACCGAACAAGATTCTCGCGAAGGACGCTACAATTAGGTCGCGCCAGGGCTTTATAGAAGCCGTCAAGACGTAGTGGTCTCTTGCAGTAGTCTGTGTGTCGGAGTTAGCACACGAACCTGGGCACTTTCGACTGGCCGTTGCTTGACTTACACTTCGAATTAGGCCGGACCTTTTCACGCAACTCAGGGTCTGAGATTTCCGACTCCATGAACTTCACTGCCATCGCGGTCATTTGGTCGTTCAACGGATCCCCGTCAGTGGCCATCTTTCGACCGAATCGCATCATTCGGAAATTCATTCGCATTCGAATGAGCCAGGCAAAGCATGGCACCCATCTACATGCCCATCGAAAAAGCCTGGCACATCGTCAGAGATCACAATCACATCTCATCGTCGTTTCCTTCAAAAGCAATCTCACCGTGAATAGGCAAAATCGTTCCTAGCAATGCAGACAGGGGGAGTTCGCATGTAGATAGTCAGATGTTTTGGCTTGTCGATGACCTCTGGGATCACTTGCGCAGCACTCGGACCGCAGCCGATAATGGCCACAGTCTTGCCAGTCAGGTCGTAGTCGTTTCGCCAGTGGGCAGTGTGCCATACCACACCTTTAAAGTTCTCGCGCCCTGGCGTGTTCCCCCATTTCGGGCGGTCCAGGCTTCCTACGCACTGACAGACAAAGTCCGCGATCCAATGTTCAGTCTTCCTGGTGCTTTTATTTAAGACGCCGACGTGCCAGACCACATGTTCCTCGTCCCAGGTGCAGCATTTAACAAGGCTTTCAAATCGGGTACACTTCTCGAGGCGATATTTATGTGCGAACTCAGTATAGTAGGCTTCGATTTGCGATCGTTCGGCATAGAAGTGCGTCCATTCTATCATAGCCAATAGTGACAAGGAGAAACTGTATAGTATACAAGGGAGCACTCACTCTTGTTTATGTGGTAAGATGTGGTATAGATCATGGCAGGGACATCACATGCGCAGCCGGGATATCTGTTCTTCTGCCAGACGCCACCATACCCAGTCAAAGCATCGAAGATCTGAATATCCCCGAGATTGACATAGCCGTCACGCAGGAGAATGGATGCTTGTTGAATGCCGTTGATACCTGCGCCAACGATGATAACCTTCTTGCGTCGCTCCAAGGGCACAGTGTTGGCGGGCCTAAACGGGGGCTGGGTATCTTCGTTCTGTGCGAACCCGGTGAATGCACCATATTCGTCGCCGGATACAATACCAGCGTCAAAGGTCTTGACAGGCTGAGGTGGACTTGCTGCCATCAGCCAGCCCATGGGAGGTTCGCTCTCATGAAGATGCATTTTGACTGTGTAAGAATTGACTCGAGGTTCAAGAGACAGAGGAGTGAAAACCAACGAGCTTCTGCAAGAGAAGCCTGCGGGATGGTGCGACTCAATTGTAAAAAAACAACACTTCACACTTACTGATCATAGATAGACAGGATTACCATTTTGATCCACAGCGATATGCTGCTTCCACGGGAGCACAAAGTGTCTAGCTTACTTGACTGTGCGATCGCGTCTCAAGGCGTAGCCGCATCACGATGGCCTGGATGGTCTGACATGGTCCCCCGAAGCATTTTGAGAGCAATGCAAACCACTCCAGGCTCCGGGTGAGCATAAGGGTTCCGCCTCTACGGATGAGGGGGCATGGCTTGACGTTGTCGGTTGAGACTCCGCAAACCAAGGTGGCAAAGAGTTAAGAAGTTCGTAGTAGAAGGTTTTGAGGGTGGTCGGTGGGAGCCCGAAGCCACTCCAACCTCCGATAGAGATTCCAAGATGGATGGTGTTCCGGACCCTCGGCTGTCGATGACGGTCTCTCTGCCTCATCTAGCTTGAGGCTCCCTAGCCTGTCAATAGCGGCGGGTCACCCAGTCTTTGAAACCTCATTAAAAGTCCGAGAATGCAGTACAGGCCTTGGTCCCTGGCTCAAGTTCTTGACCCGGGCACTGTTGCTAGAGCTTGACTGGGGAAAGTGGCCATGTGGTCGGGGAATATCTGGAGAAGTCCTTGCCGTAGCCCACAAGCTCAGTCATTGGGGCCCCGCGTGGATAATATGTTTGCCAGACGTGGCTATATAGAAAATGGCCTGTCACCATGGCGAGTATGTGGTCTTCGAGATTTACCTCGTTTCGACAACAGTCGTTCTTGGATCGAATTTCAAGAATCTTTTGTGGGGCCACCTCGACAATGAAACTTCTTGCCCTGCACGAAATCGAGCACAGCCACGGTACTGTGCAGTTGATATCAGGTAAGCCTTCCAAGCACCGGATTGACTCACAACGGTGCCCCGTCTACTACCCTTGGCCATGAGAATATTCTCGGTTAAGGATGTGAGGTAGATGGACAGCAGCTCCAGCACAAGAAAGGCACTTCCATCGTGCTTGTGCCTCAGCCAACTGGCGACGACCCCAATGACCCTTTGGTAAGACTGCTGTCGTGGGCGCTTTGTGTTTGAAGTTCTGACGTCAAAACAGAATTGGCCTTTCGAGAAACGTGTTGCAGCATACTGGTCTGTCCTCTGGTTGTCGGCCTTGTGCCATTTTTGTATCACTGGTCTGGCGCCAGGCTTTGGACAGCTTATCGAAGAGTTCGAGATCAGTCTCACGTAAGTGACATGGATGATATCAGCATGTCTGTTGGGCGAATTCATGGGCTGCTATTCAGTGGCTCCATTCGCGACCCGGTACGGCAAACGACCTCTCTGGCTTATCTGTGGCCTCTTCTTCTTGGTGTGCAATATTTGGGCTGCAGTCGCAAAGTCGTTCTCATCGCTTCTCTTGGCAAGGTTCTTTGCATCATGGGCAAGTCGGTCAACCATCTCTTACTGCTTCTGCGCAATACCTGACCTGAACACGATCTAGGCGGGACTAGCGAGCCTCTGAGTGTCGGAACTTTGCACGATATCTTGTTCCTGCATGAGCGAGGCACACAATCAGGCGTCCAGGCCATTTGGTTGAGTCTCGGGAGCTCTCTCGCGCCACCTATCTGCGGCTTCTTGATCCAGGATAGGGGATGGCGTTTGTATCATCGGCTTGTCTCGATCATGGCGGGTGCCGATCTCATCCTCCGTTTCTTCCTCGTACCAGATACTCAATACAAGCGAGATTTGAACTCGGCGCTCGATGCCGCCGGTGTTGAGGAGAACGACGATATGGCGGATGGTCAAACCGAGTCGCATTGCGAGATGGTGGAGTCGAAGACGGGGAGCCAAGCAATAGAGAGACTGGAGCCCCAGAGATCAGCCGTCCCGGGAATCAAGCCAAAGAAGGCATACCTGGAAGGACTAAAGCCATGGTCACAAGTCCACAAGGATGTGAATCTGCTTGGGTCTTTCATCCGCCCATGGGCAACTTGGTGCTATGCCAGCGTTGTTTGGTCGGTGTTGTCCTTTTCTATTCACGTCACATGGTAAGTATATCCTATTCCTTACGTGTCGAAAGAGTCAAATCGCCGAGGTCCTCGACTTACACAGTGTGGTGGTGTTGATCAATCTCAACCCTGTGTATCTCGGAGCTCTCCCTTATAATTTCAGCACTAGCCAGCAAGGTTTGGTATTCTTGAGTCCCTGCCTTGGGAACCTCTTTGGATCATTCTTCTGTGGATACGTCAATGACAAGCTGAGCCAGTGGTCAACTCGACGCAATGGAGGTGTCTTTGAGCCAGAAATGCGCCTGCCAGTGGTGGCGATTCCGGTGCTTTTGGTTCCAGCCGGCCTGCTCATGTTTGGAATTGGTGTCGCCCATGAAACTCATTGGATTGTCCCGGTGATTGGCGCTGGGCTCGTTGGTGTTGCATTGACAGGAATCGGATCAGTCATACAGCCATATCTGATGGATAGTTATGCTCCGATTATCTTCGACTGCCGGGTAGTACACTTCTCTCCCCGTCGTTTGGGGCGTGGTGTCGTCCTAAATACCAAATATCTAACCATTCACAGACTTTCAACGGCTTCAAAAATCTCGTCTCATTTGCTGTCGGCTTTGCGGTAGTCCCGTGGCTCGAGCTGGATGGTGTGGTGGCGGTGTTCGTTATTCTCGCTGTCCTTGTCGTGGTCATCGATGCCTCCGCATTGCGGATATACCTCTTTGGGAAGAAGCTGAGGCAGCGAGACACTCGATTGAGGATCTTTTTATTCTTAAATGAGGCATTCCCCGGGCGGTGTAATGCGTGTTCCGGCAACTTCTGTACTCCAACCGAGGAACCAGCTCTGGGGAAAATGTCAAGTTACCTTGAGATCGAGGCTGCTGTTTTTTGTTGACAATACAACTAGAATAGTAGAGAAGAAGCATCAATGCGAATACTTCTCAGTAAGCTGCTCTGGAAGTCTGCGCCTGGAAGAACTTGTGATTCAACACGCGAAGTAGTCCAAATTAAGCAGAGAAGCTGATCGACGTATCGTACCATGTTCTCTCGCAGCTCTACTTCAATTTTGGCAAACATGTGACGACTATATCTTTCAAACATTGTATCAGACCCAAACAAATTGCCGTGTTCACAAATACATGAATATTGCACTATGTATGCAAAGACTTTAGGACCATCTCCCTAAGGCATGAGAAACCCTCCATTCACGGGGATGCAGGCTCCCGTGATCCAGCCACTCCTCTTCTCGCAGAGAAATGCAATGGCGTATGCAATTTCGGAGGGCTCGGCCATTCTAGATCCCATCGGTGTCGCATCCAGCATAGGTTGGATCTTCTCAAGGAAGCTGGGACCAGCGTGGTTGAAGCCATGCGTATTTGTCGGACCTGGTTCAATGGCATTGACTGTGCATCCATATTGCCTTCCCAACTCCCTGTAGCACCGGCATCAGCAGCGACCCTCGACACGTACGAGGATGCAGAGACTTACAAGGCCCAGCACCTGGTAAACGATTCCACCATTGATTTTGTGCCGTTGTAAATTGTCGACCCACATAGCCTTGGCGAGCACCCACGCTGCTCACATTGACGATTCGGCTGTCGTGTGTCAGGTGAGGCAGTACAGCTTGAGTGAGGAGGACCATGCCCCTGGCATTCAAATTGACTTGTGAGTCCCATTGATCGAGCGCTAGGTCTTTCAGTGGTCGCATGATAGCTATCCCGGCGTTGTTGACCAAAATATCAACCTTACCGCCGGTCAAACGAACTGTTTCGTTAACGAGGTGTCGGGGCCCGTCAAGGGTGGACAGATCTGCCTTGATTGCCCTGCATTTGGCCGCGGCTGAGCCATTCGTCCTTGCGATCTGGTCGAGAACTCTCTCCGCATCTGGCTCTTGTTCCGGCCAAGGGTAGTTAACTATCACCAGAGCACCTCTGTCAGATTGTCGTCAGTGTCCAACCTGCTGATTTGAGCATCCTTCGTGCAACACAAAATCTGCTCACCTCGACGCCAGTTCAACACAAACAGCAGCGCCGATGCCACGAGCGCTACCACTGACGATGGCCACTTTCCCTTTCAGTGTCTGCTCTGCTACCATGTCTGGTTCCATTTTATGTCTTTCCACCTCTACTACCAGAGCAGCAATGGTACAACACCAAGTCGAGGGGAAAGGGCATGCTGCACCTTTAGATGGGTGAGTCTTCGGCGGCTCGGCGAATGATCAAAGACCGCCTTTGGACTGAAACACCGACAGATATGGTCAATCCAATGCAGGTTTAGCTCGTATTTCAGGACAAAACAGTGCTCATCTACCAGAGGTCGGTTCTGATGTGTTCAGGTCCCAGCTCTGGACGGAATAGCCAGAAGTGCATGTCGGGGTGGGTTCTAAGTAGCGCTGTTGGCCTGAGTGTCCGGAGTTCGGGTGAACCACATGGAAACACCGAAGTGTTTGATGACTGAGATCTCATTCGCAGACGGCCAGCTTGTATAACTAAGAAAAGGAGGAGACAACGAGCATAATCGAACACATCCACAGGTTCGTTCCACAAATAGACGCAAGCTACTTGCGCTACACCGTAGAGGCGAGAGTTTTTGGCTCTTGAAAGGCCAACTAACTCCGCAAACATGAAGCGAACAGTAGACTCAGCAGCTTCAAGCGGCCGACACTTATAGACCTTTAGTCAAATGCAGCCATGTTCATAGATCTTTCCAACTGTGTGGGAGGAACATACAGAGAAGATTTGCCATCATGAAAAATCATCCGAATGGCCAGCGCCCACTGCGATAGTTACTCTGCCAGACTTCCCAGCAGGTGGTACCCTCTTGGTAACAGATGGGACTACAGGTTGCCGAAAGGTGTTCTAGGCCGCCAGGCACTTACGCCTGCTGGGCCTCAAGGCGGCGTAGTGGCTTGTGGCGATTGCTGCGGGGTATCGGCAAGGGGCCCTCCTTTAAGCGGGCGCATACCTGGAGAAGTCGCAGTCCCCAACAGAGCAGCACCCGGCAAACCTGGGGAGTTGGGACCGAAAAGCTCGCCCAATTACTGGTGTGCAGAATGTACACGTCGTCTTTCGATTTCTACTTCGCTGCAAGCGCTGCTTTAACCCAGTCTCTGCCACTTCAATAATCTGTCTTCACCATGCAGTTCACCGAAGAGGCGAACTGGAGACTCGCCCGCTACCATTGCTCGGTATGCTCGCGACCATTTGACCGTAAGGATACGCTGTCGAGGCACATGCAAATCCACTACAAGCGTCGGCAGCAGCCCAAGACCAGAAGAAAAGCCTGTCTATCTTGCTCCCAGTCCAAGACGCGATGCAATGGCGGGCGACCGGCGTGCTCCTCGTGTCAAAAAAGGAACCTCTCATGCGTCTATGAAGGCCTTGCGTCCGATCGCCGACGGGAGGAAAGATCCTCTGAGGCTGATGCCAATGCCGAAAACCACTCTGTCGCCGATCCATTGCGAGGAGGCACCGACCTCTGTGACGCGCAGTCGCTGGGAATGATATCGCCGCTCCGTGGAAATCAGGCTATGGACAGAATGAACGACCGGTACGCTTCCCATCAATCAGTGGATGATCGAAGTCAAAGCCAGACTGTTCAGCCAAATCTCAGTCAGAACGCCTCGATCGGTCAAAAACCGAGTCCTCTCTGCTCAACCTTTGATCATACCGACTTCAATTCCAATCTTGACTGGTTTTTGGAAGATGCTGGGAGCGATGTCTTCCTAGGGGCTCCAGACTTCTTCGGCCTATTTGGCTTCAACGACAATCAAACCCTCTCTAATCCTTTAATGTCCGCTCCACAGACTGCGGTACCTTCTGCCCGACAGTCTGATGCCGGTGACAATGCCAACGATGACATGGATGACGCAGGGAATCGTGATGCAAACGAATCTGTGCCCGCTCTAGGTGGTCTTCTCACTCCACAGCCCCACGAAACAAGCATTTCCGACAACCCGTGGCCAGTGGAAACTCCTAGACCTTCCCAAAGCCACACAGCTCTGCCACCATTAGGACCTGAAGATCAGGCATCGGACTCTTTCTCCAAATTCTGCTCACTCATGCCAATAAACGACCGGACAAGGCACGCTCTGCAGAAATGCATCATGTTACCCTTCGAGCATAGTTCGACACAGACACTGGGACTTGAACGGTTTCCCCCCAAGGAAACATTGGACCATTGCATCGACCTGTACTTTGCCTACTTTCACCCAATGCTTGCCATTGTTCATCAGCCCACATTTGATCCTGGTAAAGATCTCGTGGTCACCTTAGCTATGATCTGCATAGGGGCTTGCTACACCGGGTACACAGGGGCTAAATCCTTTTCGATCGCGTTATCCGAGCTCATCAGGAAGCTTTTGGTCTTTATGGCCGAGCAAGATCGTCGGTTCGTTCGAACGGCGTCTTACTTGACAGCACAGCTCCTGCAGGGGACTCACGGGTACTGCAGTGGCAGTGAGAGACTGTTTGAGATCAGCGAGTCGTGCCGCAGCACCCTGGTTCATCACGCCAAGTGTATGGGCCTCTTCCGTTATGAGTCCCAGCGGACACCCCGGCTTGGCATTTCATTGGACGAAACATGGCGTGAATGGATCAGCGAAGAAGGGTTGAGACGCCTAGGGTGGGCAGTCTACAAATATGACGCTTCTGTGGCATATTTGCACAACAACAGACCGTTCTTGAGCACCGGCGATATTAATCTCAATCTACCCGGCTCAGCCGAGCATTGGGAAGCAGAATCGGCACAGGCATGGTCCTCACTCCATCCATGGTGCAAGGCTTGTCCTCCAACCTCTCGGTTGCGACCCATGATCAGGTTGCTATTCGACGGCACCGTGAACCCGGTTGAGAAAATTGGAGACGAAGAGCACCGTTTTATCATTCTATTGACCCTGCTTAGGATGTTGTGGACGTTGAAAGAAATCAGATCCTCACCGATAAACGATCTAGTAACCCCTCCTTGCTACGATGATGGACGACGAACTCTGGTGCAAGCAATCGATCAGATGACGATCACCATTGTGGCTGCTTCCAAGAATAATACACGGGCAGAGATGGACCGGTTGGTACATCGGATGCAGCTCGTTCACATTTCTCATGTTTACGGCGCTGGTGATCTAATGAATTGGCTGTATCCATACCTACGTCACGGGCCCGAAGCAGAAAATGCTAGGATTCGTATGAAACAATGGGCAAATGAAAATGCCCAAAGAACAAGAGACGTGGCCTACCATTGTGCGCAGATGCTTGCCCTAGTTCGGTACTACCCAAGCAATAGATCACTGGAACCATTCCTCACATTCCACGCAGGGGTAGTGCTGTCGTGTATGGCCACACTACTGCCGGAAAGATCGCCACTTAACCAAAACTCCTCAATCCAGCTCGATCTCCTCGATCCAGGAAGCGGTGAGGTAACAAATCGGCAGACAGGCTGGGTTTCTTGCGGAGGAAATGAGCAGATCAGCTTACTTGGAGTACCGGACCTGGCTTCTGCATTGGGCCGACAACAAGTATTAGACCAAACGGCTCTGTTGCTGAAACGCCAAAGAGTCTGGGGAATGGCACGAAACCTCACAAAAGTTGTGCTTGCTCTTGGAGCTCGTGATACGGATGGAGACGTACGGGATGCTGCTGGTCCACTACAACTCTTCTCAGCAACGCTCTCTCCGTCCAGCTTTCCTCACGGGACTTGAAATTTGACCGACACAACGGTGTCGCATGATTTCCTAGTTTGCAGAATAAATCCTTACATCATCCCATGGCACAACCTGGCCGTTTAAGGCCTTTGGGATTTCATTCACGGCTAGCCTCACAAAGGAACTTGCTGGACGCTGGGGAGGTAGCAATTCGTCTCGAGCATGCAAGTCCGCGAGCCATTTATATTGCTCTGGAGGCATATTTGATTTGTCTGAACCAGCATAAGAGAATCTTCCTCGAACGGGAGCAGCTGAAGGCAACTTACGCTCATTTCGGACCTCGGCTTGTTGCGTCGAATCTACAATACCGGGTGTGACACATAACATTGTCACCTGATCCTCTTCCACGGCCAACCCAGCACAGAGCCAATCCATTGCGGCTTTTGAGCACGCGTATGCGGTCCAAGCTGCATATGCCCTAAAAGATGTCCCCGAGGACGTCATCAGGATTTGACCTCGAGTTTTCCGCAGATGCGGTAATGTGACCTGGATCTGATGGTAGTGTCAGTCCCGCATTCAAGGACGCGATCAGAAAGCCGCGCTTCAAATTCGACGCCATACAAGGGGAAGAGACATTTGGAAGGGGGGCAGATTAATAGAAGACTTGCTGTGTGCAACAACCCAAAGAAATTTACGTCAAACAGCCTTTTCCATTCCTCAATTTTCGTCTCTGCCGCAGGCCCAATGGGACGTAAGATGGCGGCATTGAGGATGATAGCATCGATCCTTCCTCTGCGGTCCAATGCATTTTTGACAGCTCTCTCGCTAGTGGTTCGATCAGAGACATCTCCTTGAATGATGGCGAGCCTATCATGGTGCTTCTAGAGCAGCGACTCAATCTCTGATGTATTGACGTCTATCCCGACAACAAGCGAAACATAGGAGTTGGTTAAAAGCTGGTTGGTGATGGCAAGACCTATACCGGCACCTGCACCGGTTAGAATTCTGTGGAGGCGAAGGTATTAATCGCATAAATAACTCATGTCATGGTCGTATAGGAAGCGATATGTTGTGGGGCTATACATACATTACCTTTTCTCCGTTGCGAACAGCAGACCCCATCGCTTGAAGTCTGTCGCTAAAGCGTAGAGACTGACAACCAAAAGCGACTCTGCTAATCAGGCACGAATTGAATCAGGTAATCCTTCAAGACTGCAAGTCTCGGCAAACTAGTTTTGTATTTCAGGACGTGTCGCGATTCCCAAGAAACAATGGCCCTGAGCAGGATCGAAGCTCGGAGTTCGACAGTGGCATCGGACTGCGGGGGGAAAGGAGAGGAATGGGAACGGAGTGGCTGCCACAAACATACAGGGATCAGGCTACGACCCAGTAGCGTTGTTTCGGCCCACGAAAGTTAACATTCGAACATCACGAGAAGCTGGTCTTGGTCTCAGACAATGTGGCCTTCCATATTGTCGATCTATCGAGGAGTCGACCTTTCTTCTGCGTGATACTATTTACCTTCAATTTCGAAATCCAACGCAGCCATGTCCGACTCTGAAGATTATCCACCTTTCCCACCACCAGGTCCGCCATTCATTGCAACCAGCTTCCCCCGGATTACCGACGATGGAGACACAAATGGCTATGTTTTCAATCACGTGGCACTTCAAATTAGCTCGCCAGCCTCATCGTTCTCGTTCTATGTTGACTTTTTGGGCATGAGTCTGATCTTCGCGCTCAATGCTGGACCCCTGACGGCGTATTATCTGGGGTACCGGGATGCAGAGCAGGATGCAGTCCCTTCAGACATGGCTCAGGCGTCTGGTGGGCGTTCGGGGCTCTTGGAACTCATCTTTGCGAACGACGAGAATGCCACACAGGACGATTCGACGCTGAATGGGACAGCGAAGTCCCGTTCTAGCGATGGGAGCAGGAAGTCAGGTCGAAGGACCGGATTCGCCCATTTCGGCTTTCGGGTACCCGATGTCACGCAAACGTTGAAGCGGGCCGAGGAAAAGGGCTGGAAGGTGATGAAGCCCTTAGACAAGGTGGATGTTCACTTCATGCCACTTCCTGGATGGGAGCATGAATCCGAGGACAAACAGAGGAAATGGGAGGGTGGATTTGAGAAGGTGTTTGGACAGGTAGCTTTTGTGCAGGATCCTGATGGGTAAGTTCAATCTTTACTCTCTTTGTCCGGTCGGAGTTACAGAAATCCAACCGTCTAAGGGGAGGACCATCAGGCTCTAAGTAATTTCCATCTTCGACTTCTCTAACGGAAACAGGAACTGGATTGAGATCTTGCCGAGAGAGATGAAGAGGGACTAAAAGGGCCAGAGACAGGTGACAACGGGAACGTGGAAGGAGACCTTAGGTTCATGGAAAAGTACGGGCCTATTAGGGGGCAATTTAATGGGAAAGTTGGCTGAAGAACAGCCTCGTTGATAAGGCTGTGACAAGTCACGCGATTACCGAAAGAGCCAATACTGCAATACACCATTGCATTCATTCATTACAGTTTAGGAAATCACATATGACTATATAGTCGAGAGCTCGCCCACAAGGGAGGAGCTCTAATGTGACAGAGCACTTCAGGTTCGGCATGCACGCGCAACAAAGCACAGAGGCCCGTCCGGCAAGTCGGTAATCGAGAACGCCTTTTTTAGTCAGTGTTAGCAAAGCAACACTACCACCAACACCACCCACAGAGAGGCAGCGGCTATGGCAACGACCGTCTAGCACAGCAGCGGCGTCGAAGAGTGGAAAAGGACACGGGGGATGCTCAGGAATAGGTGGAAAAAATTCATAGAATACTCTGATCAAACTGTAAAGAATGGTACACGGCCAGCTCTGTAAACAGTTAAGCACGCCGGCAGCGATGGCATGCTCTCTCGGCCGTTCTGTCTTTGTTGTCGCTGTTGGTCTCGCTGTCGTCGTCGTTACATACCCAGCTGGCCCTTATTGCCTTCCGCCCTCACAGCCACAGTCAAAATGCTAGTCCTTTTCGGCCTGACATGTGACCAGCTAAATCGCCTTCTCGCTACTCCCCAATAGCCAGCCCGACACGGCCACTTTGCCTTGTTACAGTATAAATCTAGATATAATACTAAATTTAGATAGTATTTAGATTAAGTATAACAAAATATTGCGGAGACGTCTCCGAGACTTGTTAAGATATTCTTTGAGACTCTTAAGACATCCCCGAGACATTATATTAAACGACTAGCGGTCGAGCACTACTATAATAACTAGTTTTGTCCTCATGCTGCATAAAGTTAGGCATTACTTACTATGTATTAGTCGAACGAAGATGAGAGAGAAGCCCAAAGAGTAAAGAGAAACAGTTGAGGAGCAGAGTAGAACAACAGTTTGAGAAAATGGCAGTCTCTCAACCAGTCCTGGAGGTGGATTGTGGATCAGTTCCCGCACTGAGGCCGCTATCCGTTCGCAATGACCTGTGGTTTTAGCACCGAGGAGGAACCTCACCCAGACCGCATAGGATGGAGGCGCTATAGCTAAGGCTAGGTACACAGTGTGACAGCCGAGCCTGGTTGCAGATTCGTTGATGATCAGCGCCGTTGCCATCCCATCTTTCTGGCGGTATAATTGTCGGGTTTATTCCGTCCTATGCACATTTTGGCCTAATCGGGAATAATCGACCGTCAAATACGACCCACCATTATCCGGAGTATAGGAAGGGCTTAGATGATTGGAGAGCTTATCTGGACTTGTTCGTCCAAATTGCCACACTCGTCTGGCCTTCTCAGCAAATCACGTTGCACCTAATCTGAGAGATATCAGATTGATGGGAGACATAAAGCCGGATGTCGCTCGCGAGAACGTCGTGATATATTCCACTATCGCCGTCAATAGATACGGTAGTTTCACTGTACCCTCTGTATCAGCCTCTCGAGCTCTAATATCGATACCAGCCAGTATGGGAGTAATCGCTGAGCCAACTTCTAAAGTCGTTGCTGACAGCAACGACTTGACCGTGGGTGATAAAGGAGATGGTCCCCATGCCAGAGGCAATACGGAATACTCCCCTCCCGAGGCAAGTTGCAATGTCTCCGACGGTCTTTATGGCGTGTTTCTAACAACTCCGCTAGCTATACAAGAGTTTCAACTGGGTGTCAATGCTTGCAGCCTGCGTCTCGTTGATGGCGACATGGGAAGCGTTCTGCTCCACCATGGCCGCAGGCCTGCTTAGTGGCGGACCAGTGTCATTGGTTTACGGGTTCATATGTGAGCTCTCTGCACTTTAGAAATTGTGGGAGTGTCCTCTGACAGGTGGACCAGTGGCATTCGCCGGAACCATTGCCACGGCTTTGTCATTGTCCGAGGCTGCTTCAATGTGGGACCTGGGACACTGGTGAACATTTTCACAGACAGGAGCTGACTGGTTGCAGGATCCCAAGTGCAGGGGGACAGTATCATTACGTCGCCGAGCTCTCTCCGCCTTCGATTGCTCGCCCTCTGAGCTGGGCTGCTGGCTGGCTGACCATGTTCGGATGGCAATCAGTCGCCGCCAGCGCTCCTTTTCTCGCAGGAACAATGATACAAGGATTGATTGTGCTAAACAATCCTACATACATCTACAAGCGCTGGCATGGAACCCTCCTCTATTGGGCTGTACTTCTCCTTGCGCTGGTGTTCAACGTTTTGGGCATCCGCATTCTTCCGCACGTGGAGAACGCGTCGATGGTCCTTCACGTTGTACTTTTCTTTATCCTGCTGATTGCCATCATCGCACTGTCACCGACAAAGAACTCGGCATCTTTTGTCTTCACGGACTTTGAAAACCAAACTGGCTGGACCAGCAATGGTGTCGCATGGTGCATCGGCATGCTGAGTTCCTCGTACGTGCTTGTCGGCTACGATGCGGCGACCCATTTGAGCGAGGAAATGTCCAACCCAGCAGTCGGTGTACCTCGTGCTATGATCGGCTCCCTGGTGTTGAACGGCATCCTAGGCTTTTCCTTTCTGCTGGCCGTCCTGTTCTGCATGGGCGACATCGCCTCCGCAATCGGAACAGCTACGGGATTTCCCATCATTCAAATTTTCTACACTGTCACGGGCAGCCTGGGCGCCGCCTCCGCTATGACCACTGCCGTCATACTCATGGCATCGGTTGCCACCATTCCGCTCGTCGCCTCCGCGGCACGAACACTCTGGGCACTCGCGCGGGACTCTGCCTTTCCATTTTCTCGCTGGCTTTCTCACGTGGACGAGAAGAGAGGCATCCCCACCAGGGCGATTTCGGTGACGACCTTGTTTCTCATGCTCCTCGGCCTTCTGAACATTGCCGCCATCACAGCGTTCAATGCAATCCTCTCTCTGGCCGTCGTAGGTCTGTATCTATCTTACCTACTTCCCGTCGTCGTCATCCTGTGGCGTCGTATCAAGAATCCCAAGTCATTGAGGTGGGGACCATTCGAGCTGGGAAGATGGGGGATAACGCTCAATATTGTCTCTATCATATATACGGTCTTTTGCTGCGTGTTTCTGGTTTTTCCGCCTTATCAGCCAGTCACTGCGCAGAATTTCAATTATGCGTCTGTTGTGCTTGGTGGGGTGCTGGCGCTGAGTGCGGCCTACTGGTTCATTCGAGGAAGGAAGGTCTACACTGGCCCCGCAATTGAGATTTTGGGACGCACAGTCTCGAACATCAGCCATGTATAGAGGTGATATGATTTTCTTTGTTTGGGGACGGAGACGGAAGTGTGAATTCAGGAATTCGGTAGCACGCAAAGGTGGCAATGCATAGTAATTGTCAATGGATCTGTGAAAAAAAAGAAAGGCTACTCTGTGCCGCTGGGGCAAGCGCCTTGGATCACCAGTAATAGAATACCTCCAAATGCCGTGTTCAACCTAAAGATTGGCGGTCTTGATCCCCGTCTTGAAGAGTCATTGAAATTTGCCAGGTGTACGTACTATGTATTCACAACCTTGGTCCTGGGCTTGTGTTAAGTTTCTCCGCAACGATCTGCGCTGTCTTCAGCCCACTTTCGAGCGCACCATCAATGAAGCCTCGCCAACCGTCAGCCCAGTCAGCGCTCGCAAAGAAGACGTTTCCGTGCGCCTTCTGCAGCTCCTGGAGATACTTTGTTATTGAGTGACTACCCCAACAACTCCACACCCCCTTGGCTAGCGGGTCATTCATCCAATCGTGAGTGAGATAACCTTCGACCTTGGCGTCTGGGCGCAGATCCTTCTTGAACTCCTCGAGGATGTGCTTGCTGTCTCGCGGGTCTTGCAGGCACCCACTGTACCCAAAGCCGATGCAGTAGGTGCCACGGGGTCCGGCCCGGCTTGTGCCATTGTGGTCGGAGAAGGCGAAGCAGAAAGACGAGGTAGAGTAACCGTCGCAAGCCGCGAACCAGCCTGGTTCGGTCGAAGTAAGCTTGAAGTGGATCTTTGCGCCTTTGTTGATGTGCCCTTTGACGATGGCTTCGCTTTTCAACGGACTTAGCGGCGGCGAGAACTTTACGTCACTCAGACAATTCAGTGGAACGGTGCAGATGACTGCTTTCGCCTTGAAAGTGCGTCCATTCTTAGACCTTACCACCGCACCAGATGGGTCGTTCTGAATCACTTCAGAAATGACCGTGTCGAGGAGTATGTCGCTCTGTGCGTCTTGGAGAATGGATCGAGAGAACGAGGTCATGCCGCCCTTTCCCAGCTTGTAGATACCTGCAAGCTCGAGGACTTGGGCCATATTGTGACCACCCAAGGCGTACCAGCGGAGCGCCTCGATAAATCCGATCTCTGTACTGGGCGCACTGCCGAACGAGTTGACCGTACTTTCGAAGTAGCCTTTATGGAGAGTTGGGAGATCAAGTTGATCGAGGCGCTGTCGCACCGTGAGATGGTCGTACTTTTTCCACGGCGCCGGTGCTCGAAAGGGGTCATGGGGGTAAGGGTACAGCTCGCGACTGGACAGGCCATCGATTGTAAAGAACTTTTCGGCGACAGCCTGGGTAATTCCAGCAAGAGTATTTCCATCGATTTCTTGCACCCCGCCTCCTGCTCCCTTGTAATACGTTTTCTGTGTTGCAATGGTGCCGGCTGACGACTTTAGATATTTGTGGAGGTTGTACCTGTGCAGTTCGGCATACAGATGTGGCTGGTTCCAATGGACCTGGATAAATTAGCCTCGGGAGGACTTGATCGGACTTCAAACAGAGAGCCCATACCCATGTTCCACCCATTTCAAAGTCTTCTCCAAACGCTTGTGCCGTCCACGTTCGGCCACCGATGCGGTCTCGTCCCTCGATGATCAATACACTCAATCTATAGTGGCGGCTGAGTTCCCGCGCCGCCCGTAGACCGGCAAATCCAGCTCCAATGACTATCACATCATAACTTGGTTTGAGGTTTGTCGTGCTTGAGATCACGGCCTGGGTGGCTAGACCTTGGCTAAGATTAGTTTCAGTCCAAAGATATCCCTCACGCGATTTCGACATGGTGAGGTCGTGGCAACGTGCATGTGAGATGAGAAGGGCTGCGGCATCCGAGGGATGGGTTGTGAATTTGACTGAGAGAAATTTTCAGTCAAAGTACTAATGGTAATACTGCATGTAAAGAAACAACAGCATACTATTGCATCGCACCCTGACCCTATTTTGCGCTGAACACAAACACCGTCGAGCGGAAAGCTTACCTCTGTTGAGCTGCACCTACATGGGTCCAAGAGCGGAATGCCTTCCGGTACACTGAATTTCCCAACTCGGAAACTATAAGGGGCAGTCAGTGATAAGAATTTCAGATGAGCCACCATCCGAAAGACTTGGAGTACCTTCGAGCGCCGGAAGCTTTTGAATCAGTCGCTGCGAGTCACCATGGTATTGGAAGTCAAGCCCAAGACCGATATGTTCAAGGTCCAGAACATTCCGGGGGTGCCGGAGCATGTGTACTTCAGTGAGTGGGAATCGAGGATCAGGTTTCAAGCCCTAACTGTGGACAGCCGACTTTCTGGGAAGCCGTGACAAGAACGCCCCCAACCCCATAACAGGCTCTTGGTTTCGCATCGAGCGAGGACCTCCGTCTACGCCGCCGAAGTACGAGTACGACGAGGTTGGTATTGTCATTGAAGGTAAATGGCGTGATACGAGCTGATCCAGACTTGGGACGGACATTAACTTATGCCGCAGGGACCATCACCTTGGAGGATGAGGGCGGCACCAAAGAGACTGTCAAGGAAGGTGATATCTTTATGATCCACCGAGGGAGCACGGTCGCTTTCTCGTCAAGCGATTATGGAATTGCTTTCAAGTGCGGGTCCAGGTTGATGGCTAGATTGTAGAAAGGATGACGCTTGAATGAAGGGGGATGTGAATGGAGGTGCAGTGCAGCGAGGAGACTGTTGGCCAGGCCCTAACCCTATAGAGCAGGTTATCCGAGTGAACTGTAGAATTCTCCACACAAAAGGTCTCTACCACGGGATAGAATTCTCTCCTCGTAATCAATTGATCATGTTATCACGGACCTTTCGTCCAACAGAGATGGGGCTACTGGTGGCGGCATCTGTTGAAACGCCGACGCTCACAATTGTATCCAAGTGGTCGAATCCTTAAGGGGTCGGTCGTCCTAGGTCGGCCAATCGCACTTTTTCTCCAGATTTGGTATGGGTCCAATTTGGTGGCGGCAAGGCTGCGAAACGAATGCAGTAGTCTCGTGGAAACACGATCCAGCAAAGGCGTCGTCCAGCAAACTAAGTTAGCGACCCCCCAGAGTCGGCGTCATATTTTGCAGAGACAAGTGAGCCTGGTCAGTACCGCAAAGCGCTCGCACTTCGTTTCCAACGCTGGAGAAAATGTGCATTTCCGCTGGATGATGAAGACCGTCGTTTCTACAGCGCAATGTCTTTCCAACTGTTATACGACACTGTCATTGTCAACGCGCCTTACGTATAAATCGAGGGAAGGGGCATCGATGCTGTTGACTCTGGGCCAACCAAAGCGTAACTCTGTCTAAGACATTTCCCTCACCAGCAAGACATGGCCAACATCAAGACAAAGCCGGCTGGGGTTTTGCCCGCATCTTGGTATTCCACCCGGGCAATCTATGAGTTGGAACGTCGAGCAATCTTTGCCAAGTACTGGCTACTTATCACGCACGAGCTCCGGTTCCCAGCAGCCGGCGCCTATGCGAAATTCACGGTTGCGGGATATCCATTTTTCATCATCCGTGATCAGCAAGGAAATTTGAACGCCTTCCTAAATGTCTGCCGTCACCGAGCTTTTCCTGTAGTCCTCAACGACGAGGGCACCACAAACATTCTCGCTTGCAAGTACCATGGTGAGTTTCTTCTATCTCGGCGAGACGTGCAGCTCTAATCCGTACCAGGGTGGTCTTACGGCCTAAGTGGTAAAGTTGCCAAAGCACCAAGATTCGATGGGGTGGATGGCTTCGACAAGTCCCAATACGGGCTTTTTAAAGTCCATCTTAAGGTTGACGAACGAGGCTTCGTCTGGATCAACCTTGACGCTTCGGAAAACGTGCAAGTCAAATGGGAAGAACTATTTACCTCCGTGGATACACAAAGTCGTTTAGGAGCATTCAATATGAAGAATTATCGCTATGATCACTCCTGGGATATGGACGGCGAGTACAACTGGAAGACCTTGATTGACAACTACAACGAGGTAAGCTCCCTGACGGTCTTTGAACGCCAATGGTCAATTGACATCGTAGTGTTCAGTGCTATCACTGCTCAGTCGCACATCCTGGCATTGCCAAGGTTACCAATCTCGAAACCTACGAAGTCAAGACAACCAATGGTTTTATCGAGCATTATGCTGAGAGCAAGGGTAATCCAGCCGATGTCTCTGGTAATGTAGCGCCAACTTACCTTTTTCCTAATTCTTCCATTACCATGACGTGAGTGTATGTCCATGTCCAGCTCGGCCGTGCAGCAATGTAGCTGACCACATCAAGGGATCATTATTTCTACCTGATGAGGGTTGTTCCTGTCAGCGCAACGCGCGTATCGATGCAGTACGAGGTATACAGAAATGTCAGCAGCACTGACAAAGATTTCGAGGAGATGGATAAGTTTTTTAAGCAAGTCGAAAACGAGGACAAATACCTTTGCACCCATGCCCAGAAGAACATCAATGCAGGAGGCTACGTAACAGGGCCACTGCATCCTCACAGGGAGAAAGGCGTGCTGCACTTCAAATCTCTGGTCAAAAGGTTGCTGGTCGAACACGGCGAGAAGGAGAAAGCATCGGGTGGAGAAATCAATCCTGCGAAGAGATCTCCAGATGATGCTGACATCGCCGAGGAGGAATTGTTTTGCAAGGACGTGTGTAGCAGAGCTGGCGGGGGCGTAGGCTGCACGTGGTAGATATATAGTGGGCCCTGAAGAAGCGAGGGGCCGCCATGGCACCCCCACTGAAGCTGAGGCCATTGGCCCTTGGTGTAGCGTCTAGAAAATAATAGACCTAGCGCAGAACCCCGCCAAACAGCTGATTAACCCGTTGTCCTCTCTTGCTTCCTTCACTTTGGCCAACACACTGCAATCCATGACGACCGATCAAGTAGCGGTGCCTACCGGCTCGAATATGGTCCTAAGGCAGTAGCTTCTAAGCCATGACTGGGTGCATGCTTAGCTCTCTCTCCTTTGAACAGCCATGTCTGCAACAATCAAAGGCGCAAAATCCCGATCCGGTTGTAGCACGTGCAAAAAACGAAGGGTATGTCCTCATCACCTACAAGGCAATGGAAATGCTCATTTGACTGTCAGGTCAAATGCGACGAAGCAAAACCATCCTGCAGGAACTGCGCTCACAAAAATCTCAAATGCCCAGGATACGAGACTCGGTGGAAGTGGTCCACCAAACACGAACGACAGTCATGCCTCCAGATTCAACGAGCGCCTGTTTTCAGCAAGAACAGGGGCGAGTCATTCATCTCGAACACTATTCCAGAAGTAAGCACCTTGCCGCGCTTTCATCAACGCGAGAGAGCAGGGACGGCTTTTATCAACCAAATCAGGCATGCACAGCCCATCACCGAGGAGCTTGATATTGGCAGCCCCTGCCAGAACGACACCTTCAGCTCGGAGTCAGAGCAGGCCTTGTCGAATGAAGAATGGGATGCTGTCTTGTCAGTTTCTTTACGGGCGTCCAACCCTCCCACTCTGTGCGTGTCGGATGCTCCAGCAACACCTGGACAGGCCTCCCTAACAAAGTGCCAACGTTTGTGGCACTCCCCGGACATCATACTCAGCAACACACAGGTTCAAGTGGAGTTCTTCATGGAGAAGATTTGCAAAGCCTTGACCTCATTTGACTCCAAGTATAATCTATTCAGAACGCTAGCCACGTCGCGGACTACGGAGTCACTGTTGTTCTTCTCCTTGTTTCGCTATATTACTGCGGCTTTCCTGAACTCGAGTACTTTGGACGCTACTAGTGCTCTAGTGGTGCAGAACGCGCAGACCGAGATATTGCATCGACTTCACAATGAGGTGGCACGGCTGAATAGGCCGACGACAACAAACATTGAGGACGTCTTGATGGCTATTATCATGTACGGTCTCACCACGAATTGGGACGGATCCAATAGCCCTAGCATCATCCACTACAATGCAGCTGTTCGGTTATATCTGCATACCTACCGAAACGGCCTGCCAGTTCCGCGACAGAAGGGCTATCAGGAGTTCTTCTTCAATTCACTGGCATACTGGTGGATGGGCCTTTCGTTCATCACAGACACCGGCCAGGAGTGTTTGTTACAACTCCCCATCCCCGAGACTCGCATTGGCGATGACGGTGAGACCGCAAGTCCGGCGAAGAGGATCCCGCATCCTCTGGCTGGCGTATCCCCCGAGTCGCAAAGGCTGCTTGGCAGCGTGGGCTCATTGGTTTATGGACAGAGGCTCAGGTGTCGTAAGAAGTCCTTCCCAAGCATGAATCAGCTGCGTATGGAATACGACGCATTGCAAGAAGCGCTGAGCTTGGAAGAAGAAGCATTATCACTCAAGTTGCCAAAGGCCGACGACTTTGTCGACATCGGTGATATCGACACCCCCATACAAGACCTCATCAACACCGCAGAAGTTTATCGACTCGCAGCCCTCGTCTTACTATATCGAGCATTTCCGGATCTGCTCAACAGCAGACTGCGGCTCGGCGAAGATGAATATGCTGGCGGTCAGTCCACAAAGGAGCGAAGATTGCTGTGGGTAACAGCGCTAGCCATTCACGCCCTTGACATCCTGTGCCAGAATGCAGAGCGATCGGGGACCCGCAGTATCGAGCAAATTCTGTTGATCATTATCGGTGGAGAGCTAGAAAAGCGGACATACTCACAGCCCTTTGACCCAACTGAGGGGAGCGATAGTTCGAGCCCTGCACCATTGATGGCGCGATGGCGTCCACCTTCGCCTCTCACGATAAGTTCTTTTGATCATTTTACGGTTTTACATGATTTGCCAGGTCGTGATTCTCCCCGAAGGGTCACTGACACCCCATTTTGCCATCCTTCAGGGCCAGACCGGATCCGTGAGGCTCGCAGGACGCTTCTTAAGCGCCTCCAATCGATCCGCGAGATCTTGCCATACAGATCGCTTGAAATTGTGCAAGAGCTCGTGCTCAAAACATGGGACATCAGTGATAATGATGATCCTGAAGTCTTCTGGATGGATATTATGATTGAAAATGGATGGAAGTTCCTGCTGGTATGAGACATATTACCCGATCCTGGTTGCTCACAGCCAACCCACAAGATCATGCTGCGGTCGCTGCCTGCGCGACAAAACGGAGAGCAAGGGTGGAGGATTGAGTTGTTTGGAGGCCACGACCACCGAGGCCACCCATTTCCAGGAAGAGGGATTACTGGACACGCCAAAGACTCTGAGTGTTTGTGGAGCCACAGCTTCCCATGTTCAACGCTTCATGAAGCGGATGCAGAGCAGTTTACGCCGGATTGTAGTGGTCGTCCTCGGTACACGATCTGAGCTGCCCAACTCCTGGCGGAGCTGAAGATCGCGCTCCACTACATTCGGCAAGTCCGCCAAAGGGCATCCAACATTGCCTCTACTGTAGTAGTAAGCTTGGAAAGTACTCGCAGAGAAAACCAAAGCCTAGGTGGATTACGACTAGAGTTGCGAAGAGGACGTCTCTCTTCGGGCGAAGTTGTATTCGAGAGCATTTAGCAAGTTCGGTTGGTGTGACTTTGGCTCTTCCTAAAGTTCTCGCTAGCCCTGATGAAACTCGATGTCGCATGCATTCCACTTTTGTGTTTGACTTTTGCAGTCCCTCTCGACTTTTTCGGAGAGTTGGTCTGTCACCGGTGACCATGCTCCGGAGTTCTGTGGAGAGGACTGCGATCCGCGGGCCGAAGGTCTGTGGTACAGGAAAGAGGTCCCGCTTGTCGACGTGACAGGAGCCGACCGGGGGCGAAGATGTCTATGGGGGCTCAGAGCCTTGCTCGGATGTTGTTGCGGCTCGTGGTTGAAAGTTGTCTCGGTCCTCAGACACGATGTCGGGGCTACGCCCTGATCCGCTGGCGTTTTAGCTCGTAGCCTGGCCAATCAGGGCGTAGCCCCGACATCGCGTCTGAGGACTGAGACAAACTACTTCATCTGCATCAACGTCTGATTCAATTATATGTTCGACGCATACCAGAATATTGAAGGTGCAGTGTTTCTCCAATCGCAGTGACCATTATTTCATTAGAAAATTCGCTCAATCATCTACATTTGCTGAGTGACGTATCGGAGGACTCACGCACCCGCTTGATCTCCCACTTTGCCTGTGACGAGCCCGCCCCTATCCTAATTTCTTTCTGCAGTTCCAGCAAGCAGTTGAGGCCGGAATGTCACGATCACGTGCCGGCATCCTCAGAGTGCGAACACTCCTCTTAGTCGATTGCCGCCAGACCTTGCTGGGCATGCCGGCCAATTTCAGCCCGATTGTGCAGCCTGCAACATGACATGTTTAGGTCTAGTGCACGTTAATGGCGAGGCTTTCATTGCAATCTTTGCGGATTCTTTCGATCTAGATCCTTTGACGAGGTTTTGAAATCTTATGTGTGCCGAAAAGTAGCACTGTTTCCCATGATGTTTCCGCTTCTGATAACCACAAATCGTGAGTCCTGTGGCTTTCGCAAGTTCCTGCTTCTCTTCACGAGCTGTCGGTGTTCAGATCCTATGTGCAAGTCCACCGCGTGGTACGCGATCTCGTTCAGAGAATGCTCCCAGTGGACCTACAATCCGGCCCCTATCGTGAGGTGTGCGGGATCGCGTCAACACATCGTAGTGACGCTCAAACCGACTGCGACGAGACTCCTAGAAAGTCACGGCACCGCTGATTTTGGGAGGGAATTCGTTGAGCTCATTGTTGACGCTCCCTATATTATTCTTTCACACCAGACCGCTTTGCTGGAATGTGATATCAGCTTCGTGGAGCTTGGCAAGGTTTGACAGACAGCAGGTTCTGCTAGGCCACAAAATTCTACGGACCACATCTGAACAGTGATCTCGCAGGTACAGCCTGTGTGAGACTAGCCCTAGCGCGTCACAGCACCGGAGGGTGCTTAGAGACCGGAGGCGAATTCTGAGGATACGAACCTCATCGTCCAGTTCTGAAAGACGGTAGAAGCCGGCCCTGTCGGAGGGTCTCCGGAAGAGCTGAAGTTGCTCGATCGTGGGCAGGGCGAGCACGGATCAAGAATTGGAAGTCCCCCGGATGACTATTGAGGCGCACGAGGAGCGCTTGGGACATAGGCGGCTGTCGATGCACCAATCCAACCAGGAGATCTCACTGCTGTCAGTCGAGAGAGGCTTCTTAGACGATGACGTGAAGGTCAGACTAGGGCGTATCCTGAACGCCTACCCACAAGTTAAACGGTGCAGGCCACTCGAGCGCGACTCGCGCCACGGAGAACCGCAAACCAACATTCGAGGAGATCCAACAATTCGGGAAGGCGGTAAACTCTGGAGGGTGGGAAGGTCCCTGGAGGATCAGTATGGCCTGGAAGCAACTGTGGATTTTTTCTGCCGTATTGAGACTTGGTGGATATGGTTTGTCTCTGCGGGCGCGGCCTGCCTTGGTTCTCTTTTCAGAAGGGACGGACGAGGTCCAAATATCAATCGCCAAATGCTTGTGTGCCTGCCGAATGCACTAAGGAGAAAGTCCGACCAGTCCGTCATCCTGCCCCAACAGGTTAAGGGACACCTGCGCTTGCCATTGCTTCACCATTGCATCAAGTGATTCCACCCAGCATTCCTTCCATGTCAGCCCTTGTATGTGAGTAAGCGGGATGGAGACGGTCATGGTGAACGGCTGACCAGATGAATGTCCTGGGATGTTATGAGGATGTAATAGGCGGCTTCGGGTTCATTTTCAAATGTCCACAGGCAATGATGACCTAGTCCTTGTAGATGCAAGAGCCAACCCTTGTTGTCCGGTCTTCGCTTTCCGCAAGAGGTCGCCGACCACTCGACTGCTCTCTGACACCAGCATCTAGGAGCATCTGGACCACTGTCTCATGTTTACTCAGCCGTGCCGCCTGTAGCGCATTACCACAGAGCCCCCCTTGAGCGTTGACATTCGCCCCAGCATCTAGTAGCATCTGTACCACTGTCTCATGGCCATTCACTGATGCCCCCTGTAGTGCATTACCACAGAATCCTCCTTGAGCATTGACATCAATATTTCGTCTTAATATCTTTTCAGGAACTGCTGCCACACCTATGCTTGCCACGTAGTAGTGTAACAAGGCGAAGTGGCCGTGCTGGGCTGGTGGTGGACTGGCAGGGCAGAGGTCTGTCAGGTCACATGTCAAACCTAATTAGATCGCTGGGAGCAGGACAGTTTACAGTGCTGACAGAGTGCCATTCTTGACAGTTGGAAGGAGTATCGTGAATTCAATGGTTTTGGTACCGTCAATCTATTCTTGAGTGTTTTATCAGTCCTGTCCTGTTCCTCGATGCTGCCGCTGTGCTAGGTGTTCGTAGCCCTAGCTGCTGCCCCTTTGGGTGGTGTTGGTGGTGGTGTTGTCTCGTCAGTATCAACCAGAAACGCGTTCTCGCTTCCCGATCTGCTGGACAGGCCTCTGTGCGTTGTTGCACGTGCACACCGAACCCTGAAGTGCTCTGTTACAGTAGAGTGGCTCGGCTATGTCTCTTAGCTCCAACTGCAGATCAAATCTCACTCCAGTCCTATCCACGTTCGAAAACTGTACCCATGATAGAAAGGTAACGTCGTTTTTACTCACAAGCCGCAGTGTAAGATTAAGTAATCTATCGTCGGGTAGACCAGTGATAGCTTGTCAGGGCTTCCATCACTCTTCTGCTGCATAAAATAACAGAGGATAATGCTTGGAGAGCTTTCTAGTCACTGGTGCATCCTGACATAAGTGGAGGAAATAATGTAGGCAACTTTCTGCAATAACGGCGTGGCAGGTATCTGATCGAAAATCAAGGTTAAATGCACAACGACCAGAAAGGAGAAATTCCTTGACAGAAAAATGAGCCAGCTGAATCTGTATCCTGTAAGAATCTTTACGACCGCCATTAAGCGAGGCGACGTCATCTTCGTCCCTATCTTCGTCATGATCCCAGTCGCCATCGATAGGATTAAGACTGATCAGGCTGGAACAGACAACCATTATGTCCATCGGATCAGGAAGCCGTTCCTCTGGGTTGAATCCTCCTTGGTCGCCAGTCTCTATGGCGAGGATCTCGGCCATTTCTATTAGCCGCAGAGGGCGTTTCGAGAAACAAAGCCATTGTAAAGCCTGGATAGCGTTCTCAAGTTGCCCGTTTGATTCGAGATCTGGTAAGATTCGATTATATGTCTCGTCGAGCGTCTTTGGTAGGGATGACAGTGTTTTTCTTAGCGTCTTTAACTGGATACGATGGCGAATGGACTCCAGTTGACAAAACACCCACCGAAACCTGGTCCGGTATTAGTATACAATGTAGAGTACAGTAAACAACTATCTGTACATGCCATCAGCCTTTTCCATCAGTGCAGTCGTTATTTCAGTCTGCACCGGGTCTGGCCACTTCTTTAGCCCTTGGTCTGTTGCCATCCTGTCACGAATATAGACACGAATGTCCTCGTCCACAACAGCACTTTGAAGAATATTAATATTGTAATCAGCAACCGGGCTCAGCTCGTCGTCAATGTCTCTTTCACGCCGACTCGTGGCCAACGCACGGAGGTCCCGTGGTTTTGAGGCGATCAGTTCTCGGAGAAAGGTCAACAGTCCTTCGCGGTCTGTACATTCATCCAGAGCATCTAAGACGATATACTTCTCACGTGGGGTATCCATTGCCTTTCTGAACAATGAGTGAATAACGTCCTCTGCCGGCTGCCGCTGTCGATGGCTGCATCTTCCATACAACAGTTCAAGCTCATGGGCGATGACCGTGGCCTGTGTTGCGATCTGGAATAGCAACGATCGAATCGCCTTGTTTGAGGACTGCTTCTCTATATCATTGAAATCAAAGTAAAAGTAGCTCACTATTGTGTCAGGCTTTTCGTGTTGGAGAATATGGTGTAGTGACGCGGCGCTATTTGTTCCATTCAGCCTTCTCTATTAGTGCCAAAGCTGGACTCCATAACCTTACCTTAAGATTGTCTTGCCGCAGCCCGCTGAAGTATATTAGTCCTGCCTGTGTATCTATACGACCGCAACATACCGCTACCGTGAAGCCACATCAGTGAAGATGTCGAGCTTTTCCAAGCTGCGAAATGTTGGCCGTTGAGGAGCCACTGGCCCGTCTCTGGGTGTCGCTTTCCTAGCGCCGTGTGGTAATTTGCGGATGGGTCTGGTATACTTAACCAGCGCGATAGCTTGTTCTGTAAGTCCTCTGACAAAATCTCAGCTATATTCCCCGCATGCGAGCTCGTATATCTTACGTTCCAAAAGGGACTGCACTCGCTCAGTCTGTTGTTTAACGACCAGGGTGTCGTCATGGATAGTCTTTGACAAAGCGCTGTCGTTATCAGTGACCTCTCAGATACAACAAAAGCAGTTGCACCCACATCAAATCATTCATCAAGGCACAATTGATGAGGGACTTTAATCGCTCCATTCGAGCCAACACATCTTCCACTTCCTTTTTGGTGAATTTCCACCATAGTGCTGATTTGAGCTGTTGGCTTTTCCCAGGGGATGGTAGTTTGTCCACCATTTTCTCAAGGAGATATTTGAACTGGTCAAGCAGACCGTTTTCGACTCCCAAGAGCTTAACCTGGTTGAACCGTTCATCGTTGTGTCAGGCTTCTTCCACTCGAAAGCGCAGTTTTATCAAGAGACTATAGAGATTACTAGCCTCGACCGCCACCTTCTTCTGCTCTCTTGTTGCATGTTTTGTCTCGTTTATGTAGCTCAGGAGTGTTGATGTGAGCTGTCCCACAGTAGCGATGCTGTCCGTCATTGATAGAGGATCCATTGCGCGATATCCCGGTTGGGCTGAGTGCGTGGTTGCTAAAGGTGGGATTGACAAGAGAGGCAATAGGTCAATGCCCTTGACGAGGCAAAGTTTCACAGGTTTGATCGTTATACTGGCGGATAGCACTGATCTTGTGAAGTCTCTTTGTAAGGTGGTTGTAATAAGAGTTGTTGTGAACAAGTTCTGGGAGCAGAGTCGCCTCATGCGAGCGACCGCTGCTCTGAGGCTGTGAATCGGGCTCAGCCTGAGCGACGTAGGAAGGTTGGGCATACTCGCTAGTGCGAGGCACACTCGATCTTAGTGCCATAGCAGTGGGCCGAAGGAGCTTAAGGCTGATGGCTCAAGCGGTACCTGTGCCGAGTGATTCGGCTGGCTTCCTTGGTGGGCGGCAATTTTTGCCCCTGTAGGCTACGTGTCGTACACGGATAGGCTGAAGTTCCTCTGTAGACTCTAAGCAATTTTTATATCCACGTGAGTCGTGGCTTTCGTGTCGCACCCGTAAAGAGAGCTCGAGTGTCAGCTACGAACCCGGCAGGTTTGTGTCATTTGGATGGAGTGCCACACGATCAAAGTGCTCGCTTGCGGCAGCGGAGGTTTCTCCCAACTCCTCAATACACTGCGTTCTGACATCGAGACCGAGGTGTTCGCTAAATTTCAAATTTAAATACTGCTCCCGGAGCCCGAAAAGATCGCTCACACATGATATTCGACTTACCTGACACTTGGAGGCATTATGTACCTATTTGTCTTCTGTGCTTCAACCACAGTGGCCCGACCATGACCGGTCCGGGCCGTGCCGTCGCCCATTCGGGCCGCCCGTAGAGTTGAAACAGTCGATTTCTAAGCGCTTCGACTTTTTTTTGGCAGGATCAAGACGTGGGGGAAATGGGATAGCTACATTATCAAAAGAACTTGGAACCCTCGATTCCTGGGTTCGCGGTTGGCATTTGAGTTGGGATCCGGATTTTTGAGACTCACGAGCGCGGATCGTTGCTATCTCTGTCCAGGTACCTTGATCCGTCGTGCTCGTTGGTCATCTTCGAGTGCGGAGGGTAAACCCTGAAGCTTCCCCAACAGATACTGACGATAGACCCTTGTCAAAAAGACAATCAATGGCCGCGGGGTCTCTACTCTCCGCTGGTCCACTAAGCCAAGGCTGAAAGGTCCTCGAAGTTGTGATGTGGGGATAGGTAAGCGTGCCTTGCCAAGATAGAAATTAGGATTGACTGCGAAAATGTTGTCTTGGGCAAAGGCCCTTGTTCATAACTGCCATATGCTAGTGGAAGCAGATACAATATCGGGAATGCACAAGCTGAGCATGAAAGTAGGAGCGTGGCTGAAACAACAGCTTTCAACAGTCAAGTTGGCGCCATTACTGGGTACCTGGTGCTAAATTCCGCCAGGTTGCATGTGGCTGCCGCTTGTGACGCGGCTAACGTGCAACCACACGAGCTGGGATTACCTTTCAAGCTCGAAAAGGAACTGATAATTTCATATCCGGGAGTTCACTCCTGGACATCGGACTCTGCGAGTGCTCGTACGCTTCTGCAGGAGAACCTGACTATTGCGACACCGTCCAATTCTCAGCACATCCCTGAACTCGGTGTCCATGTAAGTTTGGTACGATGGCATAGCTCGGCTTCTCTACAAGGTAGGTAGTTAGGCTAGCGATGGCCCCGTGTCTCAGAAAGAAGCACTGTCGCCTGAGGCTCAGTCTGTGGTTGGAGATATGCGCCACATAAAGTCCCTGCTGCTACCAGCCTTCGACTTTCATGCAGCATGGTACCAATGCAGCAACTACGATATAACCAAATCACCCTCCTCCGCCCCCTACGGCTTGTGGGATACGTAGTATAACAGACAAGTCAACTCCAGGTACGGACTGTCGCCCTCTGTCCCGGCCATTGCAGAGTCTGTCTGCACACTACTATTTGCATGACCGTACAGACATCCCTTCCTCTTGAAATTCTTCCCAAATTCTGAGTCATACTCCAGCGCCTTTTGCTGTCTAGGTGACTGTGAGGACCAGCAGATTATCACAGCATCTCCCAAAAGCTTAGACTGCAACAATACGAGCTAGATCCCCGAATCCCGGTTTAAAATAGGTTGGATGTAAGTCGGATACGTCTGGAAGCCTCCAATATTTCTGTAAGATACAGTCCAGATGTTACCAGTGCATTTTGAAAAACCCGTCGCAATAACAACATGACGAATACTGGCCTACCTCAGACGCCGATCGCGGCGAGCAGACCCCAGGCGGCAGCAGGGGAGAATCCCGACACCACGCGAATGATCCATTATATTAGAAGCCACACAAATTCTATGGGGGTCAAGGGGGGATTTGTCTAAGCAACACAGGTACATAAGAACTCGCCAAAGTCGGAAGGACTCGTCAATGTCGGATGCACTGAGAGGGGGAAGGATAGCCGAGCAACAGCGATGAAGAGTTGTGGCTTGACTCCTGGAAAAATATTCGAAACGAGGGAATTCCAAGGCGCTTTTCAGGCTGAGGGTTTGATTCACCTCATGCTTTCCAAATGGAACTGTCCTGTTGAATGCGAAAAGCACCAAAACAAAAGTCTCAAGCCAACCGAACACCGAGAGTATTTTCGGTGTCCGCTTGGATTTGCCATATCAATAATCGATATTATAATGTCATGGTTTCTCCAGGAGCCATACGAGATAGTGGGGAGGATGGGTCGACAGAAGACGATTGAAGAGATGCCTGGGGAGTTTTCGAAGAGAATCAAAAGTCCGATCACACCATGGAGTAGTTCGAATTTCTCCTCATTGATGAGCGGTCACAACTCGCCTGGAAGTCGAACCCACTACCCTCACGCTCTCCGAAGTATTTGCCCGATGTTCCGGTACAGATTCTCGCCCACGGTTCCTTGCGATTCGCGTGGACTGGTCGAAAACCCAGATCCGCCAAAAGCAGTCCTGCCGTTCCCCAGACGGCATCTCCGACCCTCAAGGCGTACCAAACAGCACCAGCCGGACGCCTACTGAGCCATTCAAAATCAGCACCGGCGAAAACACTTACCCGCTCAGATCGAAGTCCATCTTCTGTTGATACAGCGTCAAAGCCACCGAAACACGCACGACCTCGTTCAAGGAACCCGTCAAAGACTGATCTTTCTTCTGAGTTCGAATGTGAGGAGAGGAAGGAACGTAGCAGCCAGGAAAGCGGGGAGAAAGAGGAAGGAGTACAATGACAATGATAATCAAGATTACACATCCGATACAGGCGTCGACGGTACTGGTTTGGCTGCGGGGATCACCAAATTAAGCATTTCCGACGCCAAATCTTCCAAGAAACCGAAAAACGATGCGAGCGATGCGAGGAGGGGCAGGGGACGCGCCGGGAGGCCAAAAGCGACCTGATGCTAAGTCGAAAGACGCATGGAAGGAAGATGTTGTTCGCATGCGCTCTAACGCTTTGCTCATCGTGGACCAGCTTTTGCAGGTTTCGAATCGAGGAATGCGAAGGGGGAGAGGCGGATAGCTTGGGGCCAAAGCGTGAACAAGTCGTGGACTTATTGGGGGATTGTTCTCAACAAGAGGGCCCTGTCCTGTTTCTCTGTATTATAGCCTTCTGTGAGACAGATCGACTGTCATGGGAGCAAGATCGCCACCGTGATCGCCGTTGCCAGTTTGATAGCCAGCGCCATCAATGCCATCTACATCGCCACCGCCGTTGATTTGAAACAGGATGACGTCGCCATGGAACGTTCAAGAATGGCCTGCTAGACATTGGTCAACGTCTATACACAGGCAGAGTCTCACTGAAGAGACAGATAGAAAGACAAGATCGTTCAATGCTTTCCGTTGCCTTGACAGTTCTCGGTCTTACAATTGGACAAGGCTGAAGCCAATGTGCCTTTGCTCGTCGACAATCCTTTCAGGATACAGGGACTGAATACTTCCCGACAGATTGAATTACTGGGGTTGTTTTACATATTGAATTGTGCTAAGTATTTAGTCCAAGTTCGCGCGACACCAGGTTGGTATTGAACTACTTGCCCCGATACGCCCATTGGGTCTCAATAGCTTAACCGTTTGTTGACATTCGCATCTAGAGAGGGCGGCTTTGTCACACTGTGGGTAGCTCGTAAGGTGGACCGGATTCGTCGGGCTACTAAAGTGTCAGCTTGATTTATAAACCCGTGCAGCACCGGCACTGAAAGATTTGCGGGAAGCTTCATCGATTTCATCTCACTCACCATCTCAACTAGTGTATCCCTCTGGCTGTCTTCAAAGCCCCAGTCCGGTGAGAATCTTTGCGGGTTTGGTGTAGGAAGCTCCGTGCCAAAAGCGCCGCCAGAAATATGTTCCTTCCGTTGAGACATTGCTAGTCCTGTGGCCGATTTGCGATGTGGACTTCTGGGATTCTTGCAATTGTTAAACCAGAGCCAGAATACGAAACAGCAAACCACGGCCACCGCCGCGAAACCACCAATAGCAATCCCTGCGATAGCGCCATCGCTCAGACCATTTGGCTTAGATGCAGAGCCTGAAGTGGCTACAGAGCTAGTTTGGGAGCCAGCTATTGAGCTGGATGATGTTGATTCAGTCACGGTGACAAAGGCCGTCGAAAGAGGCTCAAGAAGGACGGTAGGGGAGTATCCCTCGTACTCCACACATCCATATCCCACTGATCCATGAGCATAGCTGAACACAACACAGTATGGTGAAGATGAGGAACTACACCGATTCAGGCCTGCACTTGTAGATGTCTTGGAGCCGAACGTACCAGACCAAATTCTGAGGGTTGTTTTGGCAGGACGCATTGCACGAAGTACCAATTAAGTCGTAGCAGGTGGTAAAAATGTCGACACAAGGCAAGGTACAGCAGCCGACAAATGTACTCGTTGTCGCGCAAGAAGCCGATTCTGGGCAAGTCACGGGATTATCTGTCGCATTTGATCGGCAACCGACTCCAATATTGACCATTGCATTCTATTCCACCCACCGATATTACCGCTTACCCAACCGCAGGTCGCAAGTGACGCGCTGTTGCTTTCCTGACGAAGTCCCAACACATGATAAGCCTCCAGATATCTCAACGTGGTGGGTTTGGGAGTACTTTGGACAAGAGTATTATACCGTTTGAAGGCGGTGGACGTGGGCTTCAATACCAAGGCCATTGCCAACCGCGGAGGAAATAAAGTGTATGAAAGGCTAGAATGGGCGCAGAGAGGCAAAGATATTGAAACTGGTTGAACTCTAACCCGTGCAGGCGTCAGAGTGTATATTGTGCTGCTAATATTTCGCGTCGTGAACCACAACCTCAAGGGCGAGATGCGCACCGAAACAAGTGGAATGACTTCACCACCAGAGAAGGAGGCCTAGTGGTGGTACTGCTGTGAGGCACCGCCTGGATCCTTATCTCTAGCAAGGGTGTACGTACTCTCCGCTGTCGTTGCAAAGTGGCACCAGGCTTGAATTACTAGTTATATCCCTCTTAGGCTAGCCAATAATCACGTGATATTGAAAATGCCAATCACGGCCATCTGAGCCTGCAAACTTCCAATCACGCCACAAGATAATGGTGGGGTGCGGGGTAAGTAGAGCTTTTCACGTGGCACAGCCAAGTCCAAAGCTTGTTGCGCCGTATTCAACAAGCCGTCTAATACGACGAACTTAGCCACATTGAGAAGACCGGGAGGCTTCAAGGCTGCTTAAACGATGTTCTAATGCTGCACAGGAGGGGCTAAATCCGGCCATTTCCCGGTAAGTCGGCCGAAACAAGGCAAACTCGCCTACAGCCAATGGACACATAGGCCTTTCCAAGCACTTTGAATGATTCCTGGAAATTTGCGCTTGGGATGCCAGGATGAACCACGGTATTATTGGGCCGGTGCGAGGGGATAACGGGCACGTGGGGAAGTAAAACGCCAGACAATGCTTTGCCCCCAGCATAACACTTGAGTCGGCCCCCATGCCCATGGCCCAAAAAGAGGTTTGCAAGAAGGTAAGGTCCTATCCCAGGTTCTCAAAATGTCCATCTTCATTATGGCGGGCAATATAATGATATCAATGCAATCTCCTCTGTGCGGCAGATTCCAAAGACCTTCAAGCGGCTCGTCGCCAAGATGATGACCCTTGTAAGCCTTTGTCGAACCCTCCTGCTCTGTGCCGCCTTTACAGCCTGTGTTGAAGCACAGTCATTTCTTACGGCTATCTCCCAGTTTCCAGAGCTATCGAATTTTACCACTCTTATGTATGATAACCCAGGACTTGCAGGGGCGCTGTTGACCTCCAATGCCACTTCTCTGACCCAGATCACGGTCCTGGTGCCGGACAACTCTGCTTTCGACAAGCTCGAAGCGCAATTGGGTGCCCCAGTTGGTAGCTTGACTGTCGAGCAACTCGAGCCCATTCTCCAGTATCTCGTCTTGGTGGGTGAGTGGACGACAGACAACTTCATCGTGCAGAATGGGACCACTGTGCCGACTCTTCTGAACGGTCCCATGTACAATAATCGCTCTGCCGGCCCCGCCCTTGGCTCAAGCGGAGCTCCCAATGATCCTCACAATGGCCAAGTCGTCTTCATCCAAGCGTCTAACTCAAATCCCACGTCATCTAAGCGCTTTATCGTTCGTCAGCTACCTCAGCCTACAGCAACAGTGCAAGGTGGGCTTGGCCAGCAGATCAACTTGACTGCGATTGACGGATATTGGGACGGCGGTGTGTTTCAGATAGTGGACCAGTTCGTCTCCCCGAATGATGACTCATTTTCTCAGCAGCTTGCTTACTCTCTGCCCCCAGATTCCTGGATCTTCCTCTCAATTGCTCCCAGACAATTAGCATATGGAACCAGACCACCTTTGCGGATGGGTTAAGGCGCACAGGCATTGGACCGGCTGTTGACATCACCCAAAACGTCACCTGTCTTGTCCCGACCAACGAAGCCTTCGTGCAAGCGAGCCCCGGCGAATTCGGCTACAACATCACTGATCTGGCAGAGCTCATCCTATTCCACACCATCGACGAACCGCTGTACACGAATTTCTTGGCTGATGGCCAGGAGTATACGTCGTTTTCGAACCAAACTGTCCGGATTTCAATTATAGACGGGTCCATCTTTGTCAACGACGCAAAGCTGATCGTCACAAATATCATGTAAGGGGACTTTCGGCTCGTCAATTCTAACCCCGAAGAAAATGCGAGTGACGGCTGAGTATCATGACCGTCTATACAGAACAAATAATGGACTGACGCACATTCTTGATCGGGTTCGTCACAACAAATTACTTGCTCCTCTTTCTCTCAGAATCTCCAGCTAATCGAAAACTCTTCTTCCATAGGTCATGTCCCCGCTCGAAGCAAGCGTCACTCCACTGGCAACCATAACTCCCTTGGCAACACCAAGCGTCTCCAACAGCCTGACTCCGTCCATCACAACGGCTACCATCACAGTAGCGGAGACACCGTCCTCGTCTACAGTGGCACCAACGACGGCAACATCAAAATCGGGAGCCAGAGGGACAATATCGTGGCCTCGGTCCGTGGGGTTTTGGGACCTCGCATTTTATTTGATAGCCATGGCCATGTGGTAATCCATAATAATCCGACGGATACTGCGTCTGGAAAACAGGTATGGGGGGACAGGTGGGTGGTGCTGGCGACTGCAGCTCTCTCAATCGGACTGGTGCATGGCACTCGGGTTGGAATTCAAAAACTAATATCCATGCCACCCGATAATGAACAAATATATTGCGAACGAAACCGAGGCTCGACATCGACAATAGCTTCTGTTGCGCCTATGTGTGTAGCGCCTCTTCAAGCCTGTCGGCGCACATGTTGCTCCTGCTGCTCAAGGGTCTCGTTCGCAACGTGTCGTCACCTGTTGGCGCGGCTGTGGCGCTGGTCTTTTTGTCGCATACCGGTGTCATGTTAGCGTAGAGGTTGTCTATATGTATAAACCATAGAACTAGCCGCCTTATATCTCAACGACAACTTCGCTGCCTAAACTCACCTAGATCCTAGAGTCTCGAGGGACGTGGAGATATAGAACGTAACTTCAGATAAGGGTCGAAGAGAGTAAATCTAAGGGTTACTATACGACCACTTAAGTGTAATATATAAGAAAAATCTAGGTCGCGGCGTAGGAGCACAGATTCTGCTAGTCCTCAGAGATCTGTTGGCATACATCTAGGTGTAATCGATCACACCTGGGCCTAAGGAGGATAGAAGTAAATCTAACCCTCACAATTAACGAAGGTGCGAGCTTAAGAATGCTGAAGGTGTTTCATTGCGGTTCCATAGGAATATATTGCACCCAGTATCCGGCCTGAACGAGAGCCAACTCCGGTCTACTCTTGACCTGATCGCTTGCTTGCGAGAGAATAGAACTACAAATAGCACAGCAAATAGAAGCCTAGATCCACAATAGTAGCCCCCTCCTCCTATGTTCTCCTGGATTGTTATGCCTTCCAGATTAGGTTGACCAGACCCGATTGCTGCGAAGCGTGCTTTTTTTTTTCCAACGCCGGTGTGTGCTGCGAAACAGTAGACCCTGCCGTCTGTGTAAGGCAGCGGTGCGACCAGACCAGCAAATGCGAATCATCATGTACATAATGCGTATCGCCCGAGCGCCACTCTTTTTCATAAGATATAAAGGATGGCGACGCATGCCCTCTGCACATATTGTCTAATTGCAAGAATAGTCTGGACAAGGGTACCAGAACAGAAGCGGATGTGAATAAGGTTCGATTCTCCCATTCTTCTGACTTCAGCTGCTTGACGTGCTGGGCGGCTCAATCACCGTAAATGTAGGTTCATTGGCTGAACATGAACACACGGCCTAGCCATTTCTGCAGAGGTGCTGCTGGCGCCCATCACTCCGGTTTCAGGACGCGGATATCTGCCACTTATATTCAAGCTTTGCCCCAGGGAAGAGTTCCATGGACAGCCTGTTCGGCATATCTACGTGGCACCACTCTCCCCTAGCTCTGCTTCCCTTCCAACCAATCGGACGACTTTTTGTGCAACAGACACCAGAGATAAATTCAAGGGTTGCAAGCGGACATACAAGCAAAATTCATCAACGGTCGCGACAATGGCGGTCCTGGATGGTCGAGAAGGATATGCAAAGATGGCTTATCTAATGAGCCGCCACCCTGAATTTGGCATCTTTCGAAGCTTTGACGAATTGAATTACCAGAATCTCCTCTACATTCAAGCCGAACTCACGCACCTTGAGCAGGAATTGAAGGAGATCTCGCACAGAGATAAGCTCTCAGAGCATCCAATCCGACAAATTCAGACAAGACACTGGCAGTTGCTGAAGGACTCCCAGCAGGATGGACACGATGAACAATTCCGAAAGATCATGCAAATCAGAACCTCACTGAAAGAATACTGTATGTGCCAGGCCCAGAGTCCAGGACCGATGATTCTAACCGAACACTTGGCTAACGGGTTAGATGAGGCTCTTCTCCAACAACAAAGACTGTCGTGTCTGAAGAAGCCCACAAAATACAAGATCAACTTCCTTCGTGATTGACTGGATAGCCCCAAAATGGGAGGGCAGCCAATCATAAGCGACGACCGGCACGCATGGAGTGAGGCTCACGAAGACGATCTAATTACCACTGCCGACCCCAGTCAAATGGACGCCACCAGCACATGGATATCAGAGAAACTTCTTCCCAACTATCACTGGTGGATTGGCAAGCATTACAAGGCACCAATTGATGCGGAACCCTTGACTGGAATCGCAAACTACTTAAACAAGGGAATTATCAATGCGGTCGATATCCTAGCTACTAATGTTTCATGCCTATTCTCAATTCTATCCATCGTGGCTCTGTATTTTATTCAGAGTATTGCACTTCGCATTGGGATGACGGCCATCTTCACGGCGGTGTTCTGTCTCTGTCTCGCTGCGATGACTGAGGCTCGGAGGTTCGAAATCTTTGCGGCAACATCAGCGTAAGTCCTGCCCCGAGAATATGCTTGAGCAACTCCTCGATCGTCCTCACTCATTTTGGTCCACCCAGATTTGCTGCGGTGCAAGTTGTCTTCATCGGTACGACGGGTAACTGTTCAGGCAGCGGCAATTGAAACCGGTCAAGAGTTGGGATGTCATCTGCCTTTCCTTTGTTCCACTAAGAAGTTCTCGTGGAATACAACTTAGAACCTCCTCCTAAGCCGAACACGTTGCTCCTCACCAAATCCCTCTCTCTGCTCGACCCCTCTCGCCGCAGACGGTCGTAGTCAAAGGGATGCTAGCTATGGTGCGCCAGAGGGGAGAAGTTGCCGACGACCGCGGTGGCGCCGGAATTTGTACCTCCTGTTGCGGGGTCCATAGTTAGTACTGTAGATGGGTATGTAGTCGCTCAAGGAGTGAAAACGGGAGACCTGAGAGTTTTGGTCTGCAAAATATATGGCAGCAAAAAAAGCCTGGATAGCTATAAGGTAACCTAGGTAGAGGAGGGACTCCCACGTTCACTGTTAGATAATTGTAAGGATCCTAGAGGAGGAATGGGGGAAAGAAACCCACAACATCATCCGCTACCTGAATAGTCAGCGCCGGACACCCGCCAGTATATAGCACCAGGCCATGGTCAACTACGTTGCAGAAATCGTGCGATGTGGACTTGACTGCTTGGTCTTCCTCTGCGAACCAGATATGCTCCTCTGCCGCGTTTGGGTATACGCCGTTCATGATAGCGACCGGCGTTTAGGAGACTATTCCTGAACAGTGAACATTCCATGGCGACGCTACACTGTTCCAGATCAACGGTGTGATATAAACCGGCGACCGTGTTAGAGGTAGATGGCTGAACGAAATGACATGGTTGGTTATATGGTTGGCTGTGATAGGAAGCGAATTGAAAGGGTCCCCTGTCCCGTGTCCCAGGTGAGAGAAAGATCCTGGTCGGGAGTGAAGGGTCTCGGGTGGGGAAATGCCCATTAAGATGAACAGGGCGGATTTTCTAGCGCAATTTACTTGCCTTCTATCTTTCGGCTCTAATCTTTGTCTTTTGTGAGAGTAGTTAGCAACATGAGGGTTGATTTTGCAAAGTTGGTCGTCATCAGAAAACCGATTTCTGGTTTGAACGATGAAACTTAATTGAAGGTGCGCCGTTGCTGAAGTCATTGCGATTTTGATACTGAAGTCATCCTCCTTGCATTCTTCTGAGTCGGGGCTTCTCGTATGGATGCAGGAGCATTCTGGGTGCTTTCATCGGATCGAGAGATTTCTCTGTTTCTCGAGACTTCATGGCTAGATATGTAAGCGGACGTCTTGCTGGTAGCTGGGACAGTAGCCAACGAGCTCGACTGGCAGCACTCGCCGCTCCGCAGAGCTGTTCGTTTGGAGAAGGGACTCCGTCGTTCATGCTCACCAGATGTTAGCGGACGTCGACGACGGGGCGCAAAGCCGTCTTCCGCTTATGCAGGTCCACTTATCCGAAGCGACCGAATAGTCCAATATGGTGCTCGCCTGGCGATATTTAAATAATCAATTGGATCAAATATCCGTGCGCAAAGGACCCTTTCACGGAATTGGACGCACTTGAGTCAATTGAGAGTTGTCTCGGTCTCTTCAAAGATTCTTGCTCAGTTGAAGTACGTAGGGTAAAGTTATATGCTAGATTGGGTGGCATACTACCCTCGCCGCCTGCCGACGGGAATTTGGAGGAAACAAGTTAAGTCACAGCCTCCTGGGTGTGACATTGCCAGTGCCTTTGGCGTGACTTGGTAAGTTGTGGGTTCTTCTCTTTCCCGTTGTTGACACTATTGTTTACAATAAGCCGTCGAGCATCTTTGCGAGCCTTTTCCTCTACATTTACCTTCGTTCTTCTTTCTGATCTAGCAATCATTCGTTGAGCCTTTGGAAGTTCAGTCTCACGATGTTCTTCGATTTGCTCCCACGTCTTAATCACACAAATAGCCACCTTGACCAACATGTTTCTGGGATTCGCTCCTTTGGCGGTGTCTCGACGACGAGAGGAGGCGAAGCGAGCGCCGAGAGCGCATGGGTATTGCATCAGCATAACATACGTAGCTAGCATTGGTGGCATTATCATCTTAGTAGTCTCAGAGAATGGCTCGTTCATTCCCTCCCATAGCCATCCCCATCGCCTTGATCCATCCCATGAAGATGGAAAGTCATGCGTTTTCCCTCCCTGGAGAATGCTCCCATGTCAGTCTGGCTTCACCAATCCGTGGTCGCAAGACAGCACACGCGTTGAACGCAATTCATCGTCAAAGCAGCATGAGGACTTTTAGAACAGTTTCAATAAGAGCAAGAAAGCAAGCATGAATTGCTACAGGCCTCGATTGTCGGCCTCGGCGTGCCTCTGGTGTTCCTCGGAAGTGTGATACTCCAGTTGCGAGCACGGCGTGGGTGGTGGAAGCGGTTGGTGCGCTCCGGCGCCCAGGTCCATGCCCGATGCGGCAAGCAAGGCATTGCGCAGTGCTTCGTCCTGTTCATCCACTTGTGGTGACCACGACTGCAGATTGAATGTGTCATGGATAGAAGCGTCGAGGCCAGAGAACTCATGATTAGAAGCCACTTCGAAGCATGACTGTAGATGACCAAAGCCGCGGGGTTGCTCGTGCTTCATGGCCATGAAGCCATCCTGGCAGAATTCTTCGTCCATCGATACCGGATACAGGTTGTAAGGCATGCTGTGCTGCGGTTGGAACTGACGGGTATTGCTCTCAAATGAACCAATACCAGGAGAACAGTCGACAATGGAGTCCATCGAGAGCGGCGGCAGGTTCATCTCCACACTGTCGGGGAACGGGCTATTCGTTTCCAGACGATCCGGCGGAGCGATCAAGTTCTGCCATGTCGTGATACCAGCGCTGTCCGTTGGCGCTTGCGAAAACTGCCAGAGCAAGATTGCTGTCCTCTTGCGTGACTCTCGTTTCATGCTATCGCCGAAGTCGCTGCTGTTGGAGTAGCGAACAACGTATATCTCTTGCATGATTGAGAGACCGCGAAAGAAATTGCGAGACTGCTCGTTGGCAAGGTCAATTGCTTCCGGGTCCTTCGAATCTTCGGCGACTTTTCTTGCCTCCGTGAGCGAGGTAAATGTCGATGCCCACCACTTCGACTGGAAGAACGGTCGGATTCTCCAGTGATCTGGAGTCTGGCACTCCTCACGGGTGGGTTCAGTGATAAGCACGCCTTTGCGGTACATGTAGGTCACGCAGGACCATTTTTTCACCCCAGCTTCAGGGTGCAAATCTGTCCAGAGTCGATCCGGATACTTGAGTTCAAGGCAGATACCAAGCTTGGAGTGACGTGGTGGGAAGTCCTCCATTAACCGGAAGCTGGCATTGAGGAGGATAAGGTCGCATTTATTGAGGCGCTTTCCGTGGTCGACGAGGGACTTGAGATGCGGAAATGACAATCGCCACCCGACAAGTTCCTCAAGTGGAAATGGCGCCAGTTTCGTGGAGTTGAGCCCAGTATAGTAGTGCAAGGCACGCTCGTGGTCAATGGGCGAGCTCACCCACATTTCGAAATTGAGGCGTTCGACCCATTGTGTGGTGTCCAGATCGTCCGTTGGTGATCCAGAGACAAACGAGTCCGCAGTGCCGTCAAGCTCGTTGTCCCACACGGCATCGCTGTGCTGCCTGGCTTTGCTTCTTGCCTTTTGTTCGTTGACCATGTGCTCAATAGAGTTGTGATAAAATTTGTGACCTTCCGACGGACTAGTGTCATCGTCATCACTGGGCTTGATCAGCCGGTCCCCTGAGATAAGGTCAGCTCGAACAGTGGTGTGAAAGAGATACAATGGACGTACATTCTGGAATGCCTTGAAGAAACCTGTCAAGCACTTGTATGTGGCTTGAGACTTGTTTGCGTTCCCGTTTTTGGCCTGTCGCTCGGTATATCCATTCGGCAATGAGCATGTTCCGTCCATAGGGCTTTCCCCGTTGTGAACACTTCTTTCGACCCATTGGCTTTATATGCACAAGGGCTGTCGCTCGTCAGTCTTGATCTGTCCACCGGAGGTCTTAGGTTGACCCACCGTCTTGAAAGGCAGCTTCGATATTGTCAGGCCAGATTGGCTTGCCATCTTTGCCGATATCCTGCCTTGGTCGAGATCTGTATTCGAGGTATTTTGGATGATGAAGATATGGGCGGTCGGGGTCCGCCAGATGCTTGGGCCGATGTGGCTTGGGATGACATCGTTTTCTTTTTGCAGCGAACGCACCATTCGATCCATCGTTGGAACCGAGCTTCAGTGTTGGGATGGGAAAATGAGGTATCTGCCCTTCCAATGTGTCTATCCCTGGGAGGGGATACTGATTCTCAATACCCTTTTTGTGGGTGACAGGAAGTAGCTGAACATTCCCGGAGGAGACGGAAAGGCGCTCGACGGCCGAGCCTGAGTCTCCAAGATGTAGAGGTGCTGACATACCGGAATGTAGGCACTCTATCAAAGCGTAACGCGCCCAATGCTTACCAAGTTATGTTCGAGAGCAAGAATGAAAAATGCGGTAGACAGTGTTCGAGAGGAACATAGACTTTGGGAATGAGAGAGAGGGAATGCTGTGAAGGAAACAGCTGGCTTAACATATAACAATCGCCACGTCACGAGAGAGTGCTCGTGCAATCTTACCTTATGCCGATGTCTTCAACTGGACGTCCCAGCCACAACCCTTCGCTCTATCGGCTGAACAGAGACACGTACAACCCCGCGGACATTGATACTCCACTCGTTCAAAGAGTCGAGACTAGGCAAGACAGGTAATTTCAAGAATTTGAATTTCTCTTTGCGATCCTTGCTGCACAGACTCAGGTGCAAAAAAGTCAATGCAAGGGATGAAAGCTCCCAATCCGGCAAGTCAGCAGCGTGGAAAACCCTTCGATCTCGACGCTTCGGTAGTCAAAGTCAGTGAGTAGGAGGCAAACATAATGTGATCATAAAAAGGGAAGACTGCGCACAGATGATGGTTGAACGAATCAAAAATCCGATCGACGTTGTGGCCAATCTGCCTGTGGAATGATATGTTGCGGCACTGATCTGCAAAACATCCCGAGTCCTTGCGACCGAGTCCGACTTCTGGTCATTATTGTCGTGAACTCTGTCTGAGACTTTTATTGAGGAAGCCCAAAGGGTTTGGCATTCAAATTTGGGTTGATTGAAGAAGAATATATGCATAAGCTCCAAGGTCGGAGGGCGAGGGAGAAGGCTCTGCAAGGGGCAAATGCGGATCCCTTGATTGCCCATCGTCTAGAGGGTATCATAGTCTTCTCTTGCACCAACGTTGAACTTCTTCCGGGCCGACCCCGTCATCCTGTGGTGAGTCAATGTATCCTGATGACCCTGGATCTTCTTCTCCATGGCTTCGATCTCGGCTTCTGGATCGATTATTTCGCCTTCTGCAAAGTCCAGAACAAGCCTCCGGCCAAGTAAATGAGTATTTGAGAGAGCCTCGATGGCGTTTTCAGCTTCTTTCGCTGTGAGAAATTCAGCAAAGGCAAAACCTCGGGCTGTGTTGTCGAATTTTTTCGGCATTCGTACAGTGCGCAGCTGACCATATGCACCAAAGAGAGCACGCACATCCTTTTTGGTGGCTTCGAAAGGGAGGTTTTTGATGACGATCTTTGTCTTTTTCGAGCCCAGCTTTTTGGACGTATCCTCCTTCCGTCTCTCTTCTCCAAGGTCAGTTGACTTCTGTGATGTCTGCACCAGGAGCTCGTATCCATCCAGCCGCCTTCCGTTCATGGTGGTGATCGCTGCTTCTGCTTGAGCCTTGGTGCGGAATTCGACAAAGCCAAAGCCCATGCTGAGAGCCTCGCCTGGTCGACTGGGATCAGTCCGTGTTTTAACCCTTGCAGAGAGGAAGCCCGATAGTGGCTTGAATGCTTCAGCTAACCTGACGCTCGTCGTTGAGAAGTTCAAGTTGCGCACAAACACCGTAGAGGTAGTTCCAAGAGCGCTACCGGTATCATCACCTCCAGGACTTGTCAAGTCAGTGCTGGTTGTGGGCGTTGGACCTTCCCAGAGCCCTGCCGGTGCCTTCTCTAGAAAGAGTATAGAGCCCTTCAAATTTCGATATGCCAACTGCTTGAGCGCTAAGGCTGCTTGACTGCTTTCTTGAAACCGAACAACAGCCATCGTGCCCGTTGGAGGAAAGAGTAGGCACTCGATCGCACCGTACCGGCCCAGCATTTGCGAGAGCTCTTCTGCAGTGGTTCCGTAAGAGAAGTTTTTCAGCAAGATTGTTCTCTCATCACGCGCTCTATTCTTGAAGGCATCGGGATTCAATCCATTGGACTTTAAGTATTCCTTGGTCTCCCTGATAACGCTGGTCTCGGCGTGGGCTTGCTTCACAGCTGCGTCGGTTGAAGCAGGATCAAGCAAGTCGGCCTTGGAGACCTTCAGGCGCTCGGCGACCGACGCCAGGACGGCATCTGGATTCATATAGAGCGAGTTCCAGCTGAAACTCGAACTTGAGGCTTCAGTCTTCCGTTTGAGCGCTCTTTGCTGTTTTAGAGGCAGCTTCGATATTTCAAATTCGCTGAGCTTTTGTATTTTCTTGTCTGAAGAGGGTAGAATGTGCATAAGCCTGCCCTTAAAGTCCTTTCCGTCGAGTTCAAAAAGCGCTTGCTCTGCGTGAGCCGGCTCCACAAACTGGACATAACCAAGACCCTTCCCGGTGGATTTCCTGGTGTCGGTCACTAAATGAATCTGTTCAAGCATTAGCGGGAAGTACCAATGGGTAAGAAGAGCAAATTTGCAAGAGACATGGGAGTCAGAAGTGAGAGGCATCTACTAAAATACTCTTTCCCGGTTCGAATCATATGCGAAGCATAAGCTGTCCCTATCAGGAAATCATCACAAAGGCATAACGGAGGGAAGTAAGGAAAGGATGTTGGCTTACTTCTGAAATTCTGCCATATCGCGCGAAGATCTTCCGTAAATCGTCTTCTTGGGTGTCAAACGGAAGATTCCTGATGAAGAGTCGAGCGTTTGGCACTGACGGTTTTTGCGGATGGTCTGAATTTTCATCATTTTCTGCGTCTGCCTCATCTTCTTTGGTCTGGACCTCTTCCACTGGTTCTGCTGCATTGTGCCCTATACCACTGTCACCAGGATGCCCGGAGCGATCCTTCACATCTTTGGCTTCCTCGAACAAATCTAATGTCCTGCTCGTCTTTCCACGCAGCCAGTCAGCATCAGATCTGGGTGCTTCTTGCACGATATCTTCTTCCGGGCCCTGTTCTGAGGGTGCCTCTTTCGAGGGCCTCTCCTTCTCTTCAGAAACAACTTCCGTGCTAGTTTCCTTGCCTGATATAACACCATTGGTGCTTTTTCGAGACTGTTGTATTGAAGGACGCTGAGTATCTTCGTCATCATCTCGGGGGTCCCGCTTCCTTTTCCTTGAAGCACGGTCGGAGACAGGGACGGCGTGGCCTTTGTCATTGCGTTTGACCTGTACGGGCTTTGCTAGGGTTACGGAGATCTTTGACATGCGAACGAAGGATTTGTTGAAGTATTGGACTGCACCCTTGGCCTGTTCATGACTGGAAAATCCAACGAAACCTATGCGGCGGTCTGGGATAACATGAGCGTCTGTGACCGAATACTTTCCTGCAAAATGCGACCGCAGTTGCTCTTTAGTCATGGATGGCGGCAGACCCGAGACATAGACTCGAGTCACCGAGGAATCCTCGGGCTCGGTGCTTGTCATTGTGGCAGTAACGGTCATCAATGGCAACGGAAGGATGACTGAGATTGCAGATGTTTAGGCGAGAAGGAAATATTTTGGGGACAAGAAATCGGGGTACAGTCGCGAGCGAAAATCCAAAAGTTTGGGCAGTTCTGCCGAGGCCGCAGTCGCGCAATGGCAGATGACGGTGGACAGAACAGCCCACTATATCATAACCACAGCGTCCTGTAACCCACAAATAATATCAATAGATTAGCCGTCGGGAGTTCTGGATATTTTTTTACGTTGATTATGCATTTCGACGTGGCCGGAACCACGACTAGACGTCGTTCTGAGCCTATTTACGCAGTACATACAAGTACAAGAGTATGGACGTTTGCCGCTAGTGTCGCTGGTATCACGTGGTCGTGCCAGGAGACGTTTTGATGTAAGAGATATTCTTCAATTGTCCTTCAACCTGCCGGGAGGGATAGGTTCAACACTATGATGTACTAGAGGGTCTTGGATTGATCTTGAGCTTCTTCCGGGTCCGATTGGAGCCCTAATTTTTCTGTAGCTAGGATCGTTTCTGTGGGCGTGGAGTGAACAGATGTTTTTGTCGTAACGTGTACCCTGGAAATGTGTCCGCTATAGTCTTGGACATGACGAAAGGATTTCGTGACAATGATATCTGCATGGGCAGAACTGGCCGGACTCCATATGACACATGAGAAGCACCTGTTCGAGCCATTTATTAAAAAATAGCTCGCCCGATTCAGGCTCACCTTTCGCAAGGAGTCTTGGCGAACATAGCGGATGACGGGTTTTGCCGATGGATGTCCACCGCAGATAAGAGCGACTCGGAGCTTGCGGAGGAAAACATTGCCTAAACGGGTGGACCTTTCTTGGCAGGCCCTAGGTTGCCGCCGTAAAATCCATTCTCCGCTGTACATGACGACAAGTCTCGCCGAGACCTGATCAATCATCTCGGCGCATCCACAACCGCTGCCAACACCATGGAGTTACTACCAGTACAAGTTGTACTGACCGGAACTTGTGTAGAGCGACCCGCTCGTTTGGACCGACGTCGCCATGAATAATCACTCCTACAAGGACATAGCCACAACTTTTAGCCATCGAGACGCCCATGCTGGACTCATGGCATGCCAGCTCGCAACGCATTTAAACTGGAACGGTAGGTCTTGAAGTAGGTCTCTTTACAATTACATTGGCAACATCTTTGAGACAATTCAAAGCATTCATATAGAGACACAAGTCTCTCAAAATATCATTCTCCTCCTCGAAAGTCACTCGTCAACAGTGCCCAACAACCATACTATCAGCATCGTCGTCTCTTCCACAACCAACAACCACCACCTGAGTTAAAATGTCTGGCGGGCCCCTCTCCGGTAAAGTCGCCGTCATTACCGGCAGCTCTAAAGGCATCGGCGCCGCCACAGCGACCCGACTTGTCAGCCTGGGTGCAAAGGTCGTCGTCAACTACGGCCACGACTCGTCCACCGCCAACGCGCTCGTCGAAAAACTCGGCCCTGAAAACGCCTACGCCGTGCAAGCCGACGCCGGCACCCTCAGCGGCGTCGAGCAGCTGGTGCAAGCCAGCGTCGCGCGATTCGGCAAGATCGACATCCTTATCCCCAACGCGGGTATCCTCGCCCTCAAGGACGTGGAATCCTGTACGGAGGAGGACTTTGACCGTGCCTTCAACATCAACGTCAAGGGGCCGTTCTTCCTGGTCCAGAAGGCCTTGCCGCACATGACACCCGGCGGATCGATCGTCCTTATTTCCACAAATCAATGCCACGCCTCGTCCGTCACGGCGCCCTACACTCTATACTGCGCGACGAAGGGCGCGATCGAACAGCTCACCCGGCTTCTGTCCAAAGACCTACTTGCGAAGAAGGGTATTCGCGTCAACGCCATCGCTCCTGGCCCTACGGCCACGGAGCTGTTCCTCGAGGGCAAGCCGCAGAAAGTGCTGGATATGATTGCGTCGTTGCACCCGACGAACCGCATTGGGAAGCCCGAGGAGATTGCCGAGGCGATCAGTTTTGTCGTTGGAGACGGGGCGAGTTGGGTGAGCGGGCAGACGATCAAGGTCAACGGGGGTTTGGCTTGAGGGTGTGAGGGGATTGAGGATGCGAGTGTCAAGAGAAGGGCAAGAGTCCGTAATCATGCCATTGTTGGCATTGGTTGCAGGCGCAGAGACGATGATGAGCAGCAAACGATCATGGAAGGATATATAGCAGATTGCACAATAGTTAGTTGTAATACACAAATTTTCCGAGACTGGAGAGACTTTGCACTGCTGGCCGTTGTTTTGCGACCCTGACTCTAGTGACCACTCGTGTTCCAGTGACGTTACAAGTCCGCAGCTGGCAGCCCATACACGTCAGCATAGCATGTCTGTTCTGAATCAACGTAAAGCAGCTTGGACCTCTTATCGTCACAACACGAGGGTTGAAGCCGGTGTCTTCTATTTTTCCGTCTCCGTTATCTGGGACGTGAGACTGAGGAGCGGGCATTCCCGATACCATCAACCAAATTTACGCGCCGGACTAGTGTATACAGATCACAGAATCATGAGTCATGTAGATTGATCGTTCGTTGTGTCAATACGGCATGCGGGTATCCAACTACACCCGCTCCAAGAGTAAAGATGTTGATCAGAACCTACTATTTCCCCTCTTCTCCAACTGATATCTGAGTATCGTCTGTTCGCTCGGGTCCACTTATAGGAGCAAAACGAACCGCAGATATCGAAGCAAATAGCTGGGACGACACTAAGCTTCGGTCTCCTATGGAGGGTGGTGACAATAGATATTATAAAGGCATGCAGTATCATTGTGATTGAGGGCTGTCCTGTAGGTGAAATAGAGTACGAGCAGGAGGATTTTGTGATCAGGTCGAGGAGAGGCGGTCCTGAAGGAAACACGACCGTTCAACTGTCCTGGAGCTCTCCATCAAGTATTGTCTCTAAGCCATGACGGGCGGAAATCGAGAGACAAGTCGAAAGTCCAGCGATAGGTAGGCGCAAGCGATATGCGCAGGACGAGCTTTGGCGCGGTCGGTGCCCCTAGCGACCGAGGGCAGCCAGACATATTGCATATAGGGCGACATTGCTGGGGCTTGTTTGCCAGTGATATTAATACGGAAGCGAAAGACAGGCAAGAGCGTGAAAGGTGAGCAGGCAGGGGAGCTGTGAGTCGGTGGTTTAAAAAGCGGCAACGGCAAGGCCGCGCTACGAGGTCTACCGATCGCCGAGTGCCCTAGTCCCTGCCCAGTGGTTGCCCAGTGCCTTGGAGTACTGGCCTCGCTGGGTGCTCGGTGCTCTGCTTGAGTGGCCAAGAGCGGCATGATTCGCGCAACCTGCATGACCCTGCTTGATGTTCGAACCTGCGCATGCGCTTCTTCCACACAAGGCTTCCACTATCTACATCACAAGCACGTTCTTCCATACACATTGTCCATCACTCTTCTGTCCGCTGTAGGGCTCAGTACCTTGTAACTTGCTGTCCTTTCCCGCCTGATACCATCTGCCGGCGCCATGGCTGCTGCAGAGGGCATCCCTGAGAAGAAGGTGAAATTGGAGCGTGAGTCTGAAATACCCCCTCTCGACCACCTACTGATGTTGTTGAAGCCCAGATTAAATCTGTCGACATGGTAAGAGTGCCGTGAGGAGACCTGATTGGATTGTCACTGACAGAACCGTAAGAGCGAGGACATGCAACAAGAGGCAATCGAAGTCGGTATGGGAATGCGCCGGTTACAAGCAGACTGGGCGGAGATGCTGACCGGCCGTTTAGCACAGGAAGCAATGGAGAAGTTCAGCGTCGAGAAAGTATGTTGCAGGATGGCCATTCCTGACCCGAGGGGATAATACTCATTGGAGACATAGGACATTGCTCAACACATTAAACGAGAGGTACCATTCTGTCCCAGACCTGCGACATTGCATCAACATTTCTGACACCTTTTCGCAGTTTGACTCGAAAAAGGGCGCTACGTGGCATTGCATAGTCGGTCGAAATTTCGGCAGCTTCGTCACCCACGGTACGTCAGGCCCTGCTCGCCCATCCGAGTTGATGACTGATCGAAGCTGCAGAGACGAAACACTTCATCTACTTCTACCTCGGACACGTCGCCATATTGCTCTTCAAGACGCAGTGATTGGATCCCACTTTCTGCATTGGGCGTCACGGAAAATTCTCACGGCATTGGCAAAACCGGCTTGGGGCCCTATCATTACAAAATTGTGACGGTGTAGATATGAATTCCTGAAAGAGAGCAGTTGTTCGACGTGCTTCACAACATGTTGTATATACGAATGGAGAGGAAAGATTCTGGACAATCCCTCGCCGACAAATGCTCAATGGCAATGATGGATTGCAAGTCCATTCTACAGTCTGACTCTGGCATGTCGGTACGCTTGTCACCATCGTTCTCCTCCATTGCTCTGCCCATTGGACGGAAATTTCCACTCCCAGTGACGGAGCCCTCGAGTATCTACCGGAAAACGTGCAAATAGCCCAGAGCATATGAAGGAGGGAACCAGGTCAATCCTGAGCATGATTCGGTGCAGCGTCGGCTGCTTTCGCCTGAACGGCGCCCAAGTCTTAACACCCGAAGCATACCAGGTTTTGAAAGATGATTCCTTCCCCTTTTTCATTGCAGTTCACATATGAATCCCGTCTGGTTATTTTTTTCCCTGTCAGGGTGGGCGAGGTCGATTTGGGGAGACGCCCACCTTGCGCCCCCAACGCCAATCATATCTACGAGTATTTGGGGGGGGGGGGGGGAAGAAATCTGGGGAAGTAAGTTACTAGGTAAGTTGGTCACGGCCACCCACGTCAGGATGATATCAGAAATACTCGAAACATCGCAAACAGTGCTGATCCACTACGATTGTTGGTGCATACTTTCATATATACGTGCCTACCTTACATCTTGCACTCTCTAGTCATTCTTCCGTTTATTTTGACCCCAGGAAAAAGCGCTGAACCGACTCACCTATCCATACACGTCAAGACATACCATTCAATAAATACGGTGCTACTTGCAGCACATTGAAACACGCGACATGAAGCCTTTACGTCTACAAGCCTTAAGTCTGGGGAACACCGTAATACTACGAGCTCCTACCACTCCTTTCCATCGGGTCACAAGCGTTTCACCCATCCACCAACACCAACAGCAAATCATCCCCCCGACCAACACTCGGCACCAGTCCTCCACGACGACGACGCAGTGCCAACAAGACATTCAATCCAACCGCTCCGCACAACAAGACCGGACCCGAATCGACCGGCAACCAACCGAGTACAGCAAATCCGGGACTGACGACGCGGTGGCCTCACAGGCGGTGTCGTTTTCGCCGGACAGCACGTCGACGGCTGACCCGGCCGAATCTATCGCGCAGGCGGCGGAGCAGATCCAGAACCTGACAGCCTCCACGACAGGCACGTCCAACGTGTCCCCCACCCCACCACAGAACGCGCCCTTCAACCCGCTTGAAGTCAGCCCCGCGAACGTGGAGATCAGTTCGACGACGTCCGAGATCGAGGGTGTCGCACGGACAGCACAGGGAGGCGTGCAGGAGCAGAGCAAGACGTACGTCGGCACCACGACGCAGAAATCAAAGTCGACCCGAGCAACCGCGACGACGGAGGAAAAGGGCGTCTTTGCCGGGTCCGACAAGAGGAAAGACGGCATGCCTGGCGCAGCCGTGCGGGGCGAGGTCGAGGGCGGGAGAGGGCCCATCTTCAGGCCGGGCTCGAGGTAGTTTGGACAGACCCGCCGGGTAGGGAATGATGGTCCGACGAATACCGACGAGCATGGTTACGGCAGGGCTAAGCGCAAAAAGCAAGGGCACGGGAAATCACAATCGGAACCGGACCTGAAATCGGGATCGGAGTCCAATCGCAATGGCGAAATAAAAATTACATCAAGGACTGCCTAGGTCCCTGGGTTCCTAGGTTCCTGTGGAGTATGGATGGAGTATGTATGTTGACAGGTAGAGAGGGATTCATTGCCAATCACTACTTGGGGACTACAATCCCCCTAGCTCTCTCCTTTTCTCTCTACCCTCCCTTTGTGGCTTTGGTTCAATGTTGATTGTTCAATGTTGAATGGTGGTGGATTGATATGCGATACTAGTGATGTTTGCGGACCCTGAGGTTTGTGTCGTATCATAACCCCTTTCGTCGCTCCCTTTTCTTGTCTCCCTTTTCTTGTCTCCCTTTTCTTACTTCTCTCTCCCTTTCCCCTTGCTTCCTCCCCCGCTCTCCCTGCGCTCGGTCTCTTGTCACAGACGGCGACGCAGCGGGCAGTCAGTGAACAGGGACGACGAGCACGGTCTTCATCATTCTCTCTCCCTACCATTAGGATTAGGATAAAGATTGAGGTTGGAATTCGGATTGTGATGGATAAAACTTTCAATTAAAAGCAGGACATGTCTGGTTTCCAAACTGGGGAAAGCAGGATAGGGCAGGCAGGGTAAACGACGACAAACATGTAGCTCAGGAACCAAACCGAAGCAATTCAAACCAAACTTCAAAGAATGCGTCGTGGGTCGTGGATGTTCTTCAAGAGTCACATCCTTTGTTGGAAGCGCGCTGCATAACGAACTAGCCCTCCACTCATTTCAACCCTCCAGTCAACAAGATACTTTGCCCGGTCAAGTAGCCCGTGCGACACAGCATGGTGACCACATTCGCACACTCCTGCGGCGTGCCCAGCCTGCCCACGGGGATGTTCCTCACATCTCCAGGCGTGCCCTCGAGGAACTTTGCGTTGGGGATCATCCCCGTATCGCCGATCATGGCCGGCGCCACGTCGTTGACCGTGATTCCGTCCTTACCCAGTTTGAGGGCGAGGTTCCTCATCATGCCCGTGAGGCCGGCCTTGGAGGCCGCATAGTGGCAGCCGTTGATGCCCCCTCCGTAGCCGGCGATGCTGGACATCATGATGATGCGCCCCCATTTCTGCTGCGCCATGTGCGGGACGGCCAGTTTCGCAAGGACAAACGGTGCGCGCAGGTTGACCAGTATTGTATAGTCGAATTCCTCATATGTGATGTCCACTATTTGCGGCACCCGCTTTCCGTATCCTGCGTTGGCGATCAGAATGTCTGGTCCGTGACCATGCTGTGCTTCGATCTCCTTGTATAATCTTTCCATATCTTCTGTGGATGCCATGTCTACTTGGTGTGAAGAGATCTTCTGCTCGGACGAGGTCGAGTCGCCTTGGAGCTCGGCGATCAGGTTGTCGACACTAGCTTTGTTTTTGGAGTATGTCAGGGCGAGATGACAGCCATTCTTGTACAGGTCTCGTGCGCAACCGGCACCAATCCTGCCTTTGTCAGTCAAAGTGAAACGCGAAGTCTCGAGAGGACACACATACCCTCCAGACGCACCAGTGATCAGGGCTAATCTGCCTTTGATTTCGTTGTCGACGGACATGCTGGGCGGAGGTCGGCTAGGTGCTGGTGTTTGCGAACTGCTCGTGTGGGAGGTCAACTGGGACAGTCGTTGTCTTGTACTCATTCCTGGATATGAATCTGAGCTCGTGAGCGCGCACCAGCCTCTCCACAAGTGCACCAAACGGTGCAGCCGCGGTGACTGCGCCGATTTGAACGGGCAGATTGTGGTGGACAGTGGTGGATGGTGCGGGGAAATCCAAGTGCAGCCCACGCGTCGGCTTCTGCTCCCAGTCGCCGACATTCGCCTGAAACGGATAGAAGAGCGCAGCTTGTCATTGGATCCATCTCAAACAAATCTTGAAGCTGGAGAAGCTGAGAAGCGCTCAGAAGAACAAGTTGCCATTCCAGTCCACCGGCCAATTCGTGGAGTTGCTGGTCTGCTGCCACTGTATCCCTTGAGTCTGAGCCATGAAGGTCGACGTCGCCTCGAAGGCCCCCATCGGAGCAAGCATGTTCATCCCGTTGCCAGCGATTTGATCACCCGAGACGTAGTCGCCTACGGCCTCGAGATCCAGCCAGGAGAAGTCGTTCGCCGGACTGAATTGCATATAGCCTTGTGCGTCGACGTGGACACTGCCGCTCGACGACAATGGACCGTCAGATGCCGCGGGAGATTGAATTGGAGGCGGGAGGTGTGAAGGGCCCTTTTGCGGCTTTATCCATAACAGCTCCAATAGCCTTGCATAGCGCGACCCCGGATCCTGAGCTGAGACGGACGCTCGTTTGAGCACTTCCATGGTCTGGAAGACCAGTTGCCGAACTTGCCGCTCCTCCATGTCTGTCATCACACCGAACGAGCGGGCTTTGTACAGGAACACGGCAGAGTAAATGCAGTAGAGATAATATCTCAGCGGCATGTATCGCAGATACTTGCTGGGATCCACTTGGGTGCTGAGAAGCGTCAAGTAGGCTTTCGCGGCAGCCACACTGGCCCAAATGAAGCGTGCATCTGGCATAGCGCCGACATTGCAGAATACACTTCGGAGATGGTCCCTCAGGGAGTTGGCGTCGCTCTTGGGCTTGCTAGCAATTGCTTGAGCAATGGCCGCCTGGAAGGCAAAGGCGTTAGTGTACAGACAGAGGTATTCGTACGCCATCTGCAGCGTGACCTTGATATAAGGAGAGCACTCCAGTTTCCCCCAAGTCGTGTTCCAGCGAGCAATGGCCGCGCGGAAATCATCAACATACTTGACATAGTCTCCCATGAGCATCATCTGTCCACTGGTGCGCATGCCCGAGTACAGAACATCGTGCACATTGGAATAGAGCTGTGTGAGATCTAGGGTTGCTTGCATGATTTTGGCATAATCTTCGTCGTCGGGGCTGAGTGGTAGCAGTGAGGGGAAGTCCTGGGAGGAGAGACCGGTCATGGGTCCGGGTCCTCTCGACCAAAATGCCTTCCCAATCCTCACCGATATCAGTCGATCCGAGACGTAGCAGTTGGCCCAAGCTAGGCGTTTCCGTCCATCGATCCTGGCTTCTTCGGCGGACTCTTGTCGAAAGGCAGTTCGATCAAGGCCAAGAAAATAACCCGTGCGCAGGGCCATCCCGACATGCATCCAGGCCGACCGATCTTCCTCGCCCCTCCCTACCGCTTCAATGCGATTTCGCAGGCCCTGCGGCTCCCATTCGGCAAGTAACAACAACGCCTCGACTGCCTCAACTTCACAATCATGGCCAGCTGCGATCCCAGATATTAGGTCATGCATGTATCGAGAGCAGCAGGTATGAATCGTCGGCTGTTCAATGAGGTCCTTTGACGAGATGGTGATGACGGCCGTCAGCAGATGTTTATCATTGACCGCGAAGATATCCAGCTGGGCAGGATCAAAGTATTTGCGCGGGACCAGGGGAAGGTACGGGTGGTAGTGCTCAGCGTATCGTCGGACTAGCATTTGGATAATTTCGGGCGTCAGGTAGCCTTCGCGCACCAGTCGATAGGTCGAGATTCCGGCATGGATGCCATTGATGGATCCCCTGGGTTCTGGTCTTGCCCCGTTCTGCATGTCTTGATGTGATAGATCCCCCTGCTGGCCCAATGCTCCTTTGGCTTGCAGCTGATCCGCCTCCCGGTTTGCCACGTCTTTCAACAACTGCCACGCATCCGACGGGTTCCTGGGTATGGTATTCCCAATCGTACTGTCGGCAGTGGACGCCGAGTCGTCATCGTCAACCACGTTCGCACCTGTGGTCGTACCTCCACCTCCTGCGCCACTTCCCAGAACTGCGGTTGTCGCAGGGCGATCTTGAAGAGGGGAGGGTTGTAGAAATGGAGGAGGATGGAGGTGGGATTTGGCATCGGCATCGGCATAGGAATCGGTCTCAAGGAGAGGAGTCAACGTCGGAGGGTTGGACAGGGTGGACAAGGTGCTGGTGGAAAGCAGCTTCTTCCTCACTCTGCTTCCACCACGGTTCGATGTGCCGAGAACACACTCGCGGTTTTCTTTCTTGCATCGCGCGCATGGAGGTTGGCCGCCTGAAGCTTCCCTACAGCATCAATCAGGGTCAATCAACGGCGAGGACAGAAGTCGATACGAGAACGGATGGTCAATCTGAGTGGTTGCCGATAGGCGGCTATTGCAACTTGTGAGAGGTTTCCAGATAGCCGGGGGCCCAGATGAGTGGATGGAGACCCAGCCGACATGAAGAACAGCACACAGAGGTCCCACCTGCCCTTCCCTTACCAAAAGATACGTCGAGAAATAGAACGGAACGCTTACAGCTCACATCTGGATTTGCGGGCGCGACAGAAAGTGCATGCTCTCGACACCCGCTTCATGGGCGTTGACGGGCTTTGGTGTTGTTCGTCGGCCATCCGGGGTCACCGCGGCGTCGGCGGTCGAGAAGCGCGAACGGGCAATCAATACGGAGTATGCTTTCAGCCCTCTGGGACTTGGGGGATTATTTGTCGGTGGACTATGGACCAACAGCACCATTCTAGGAGAGTTGTTGCTCGTCTCATTTGATGCAAGGTCAAGAAGAGGAAAGGCTTTGATCCGCGAAAGCTGGGGAAGAAGAAATCCGGGATGGATTCGTTCACATGTGTGGTGTTTGTGCCCGTGTGTCTGGAGGTTCTGGCCCCAGCGGGTTTGTACCTGGCGAGGCGAGGATCCGCCGAATGGCCGCAGGGACTGGAGAAGGACGAGGAGCAGCAGGCGGAGGGAGGGAGGTTAACGATAGAACTGGGGAGGGGAAGAGGGAGGGACCACACCGGTAGTTCACGTTAGTGAGGCCACTAAACTGTACAACACTGTAGCAAGTACCGAGTTTAGTTAAGTGGCTGGCCTAGTAGTGAGACCCGGACTTGTCTAGGGTGTACCGTGCAGCGAGGCTAGTTATCCTGCACAATCATGCCCATGCGACTGCTATTTAAAGCACCACCCAAAGCCCATCTCTAGTCATAAGCCTGTCCAGCAAGCAGGGTTCAAAAATAAGTGCCGCAGGCTGTCACGAATATGTACCTCAGGAGTGCTCAATAACGTCAAGGCGGCCGCGCTACATCGAATATAATTGATAGTATAGATGAATGACAGAGGGCCACTATTTGCTGAAGGTAAATAGCATACTTATTGTGACTGAAGGGCATCCTCGATCTGACAGTGAATCACTCTACCCTTTGTCAGACTGTGCCATTTATTTTGAATCCGGCTTGTGAGGTACTACGCCCAAAATACCTACTACCTCGTTGCTATTCGAGACATGTTGGACTTGCCCCCTTCCCCATCTTCTTTCATCAGCCTTGCCGCATTCTGGTCCCATCAGCATCGTCACTTGTGCCATGGCTGCTGCTAGTCAGAGTAGACGAGGCAATTGTATGTGTCGTGTTGGGCACTAATTCGAGGGTGCTTGTGCTACTAGTGGATGAGCTTGAGCTCGAAGAAGTGCTTGCTGTCGAACACACTGCTCCCACTCCACTCCCTCCTCCGGTGGTGGATGCCGTCCCATTCGCAAAGGGCGCAGCAGGAGGAGCAGCACCAACACCCTGAGGCGGCAGCAGCCATGTTACCACCGTGGCATTTGGCACTGTCCCTTGCCACATGTCAGTCTCGCCGTTGTTGAATCGCACCACTACATCCTGGTCGCTGCCGATATTGTTCATCATAATCACCGCCCAGCTCGAATCTGGATTGCGCACCGCCATAGTATAGAACTGGTTGACTTGTCTCGCATCGCCCTCGTTTCCGTCTCCCAGGATCCGATAGTTCACACTGCCTCGACGGACGAAACGTGAAAACTGGCCCACCATGTAATAATCGTTCGTGAGCGTATATTGCGTGGATGAATTCACAATAACGCTTCCCTGGCAGCCAGCACATCCACCATACGGTGAATGGGGCCCATATTCCTGATCTGTCGCCATAACCCACATGGCGGCTGCCGAAGCACCGTGCGTCACAGGCGGGATGAAATTCGACGCCACTTCGAAATTCCAGCTCCCACTTTGCGGAAGGTAGTTGGAGCATTCCGTCATAAACTGCAGCGTGTTGGGGAAGGCATAATGAAAATCCGACATTACGCTGTAGTTTGCCACGGGACCAGCATAGCAATGCCATGCTGCTGCATCAGTAAGAGCGCCCTCACCACCCGTTCCTTGAATGACACGGGCGGGATACACTGGCTGATCGGTATTGTGGTCCTGGCATCAGACACCATGAATTAGAGTCGGCTTTGGACCCAAAGACCAATCTTCAAAGAAGAGGGATCAGAATGGAGACTTACATATGCCATGATGATAACGCCGCGGTCGTGCATTGCCTGACCGAGACCCTGAGCGATCAAGCTTGCTGCATCTACTGGGTCAAGAAACATGCAAGGGTAGCCGCCTTGATAGTTCAGCGGTTCATTCATTGGGGTAATACCATTGACCTGAACTCCCATATCGCGAAATGCGTCGACGTACTTGGAAAAGTATCCCACCATTTGCGGGACGTACGCTGGATTGAAGCTGTTGTTGAGGATATTGTAGCTTCCACCCCCGTCCACATTTAGATTCGGCGCAATGAATAGGTCATTGTACTTTGTCCATCCAGGATATGACCATGGCGAACCGAAGAGGAAGACATCGCCCTTGACAGCACCCATTTTAGCGATGAATTCGGCCTGACCAGTACCATACGGGCCCAGGCTGAAATTGGACAGGTCGAGGTCAGGCTCTCCTTCGTTAAAGCTGGGACCGTTGTCGTCGTAGGTGTATTGTTCGCCTGACAAGTCAGACGATCCAATGGTATGTCGCATAAAGCCCATGTTGTTGCCATTCTGGCCAAAGAGATCTTCCAGGACACGGGCGAGGGTAGCACTATCCAGGGACTTGAACACACTGACGGTGCTGTCGGTCCAAGCGTGTCCAAAACCAAGCATCTCCTGTTGTGCGCCGCTGGCCGAGTCAATGATAATATTGCGCCTTGGTGGGCATGATGATGAGCTGCTTGGGTATGTTGACAAGCGAACGGGTGGCGGACCAGGTGCCAATTGACGAGTGGTATTTGGAACTGTGGGAATCAGAGCATCGGTCATGAAAGATTGAGGAGTCAACACAGGATGGGCCCCGTCCCCGATGCCTCCTCGTGGACCGCAGTTTTGAGAACTGGCAATACACGAAACACCGAGGTTTTGGACAGACTGGGCAACGAGCAGGTTGCAGTAAAACAAAATTAAGCCGCAGAAGGGTACGAGCGAGACCATTTTTACGTTTTTGTGTGTCTTGATCATGAACATTCAAGACACGAGAACCTAGAGTACTTCGCCTTTTTGAGTAAGGAAGGCCGCCGGTAATGCAGGGTATATTGATGTCGATCTTCTCCAGCTTCATGACGTTGCAATGAAGGTGGAAGCTACCCTCTATTTCGATCATACGGCTAAAAGGCCACTTCCCGGAACGGAGCTTGACATTCCACTTGTTGTAACTGGGGAAAGCAGACCCAGATGCAGAAATACTTGCAGAGGTAAATCTGAGAAGCTATCATCACCAGAGGCAGTCTACGGTAGTAAACACTTCCCGCTGACAACATATGCCTTGACCAGCATCCGAATGTAGCTGATACTGCAAAAGCAGGAAGGAATATCAATTTAGGCATCTGTTGGATGCTGCGCCCCGCAGATCAAATCGGCATCTGCCTTGTGCCCCTTTGACAGGGAGGAGAGTGGAATTATAATGGATTTCACCCATAACAAGAATTCGGAGATCAAAATCCTGGAGGTTACGCTCTGTACCACCCCTGCTCCGAGACTCCGCACATGGCTCTAGCTGAGTGTTTTGACCCCGCAACGCCCTTCGTCGCCAAAAGGCGCTTTGGATGCGACTCTGGCACTGAGTGACGTCTGAAAGCGGGCTGTGATTTCCAGAAATCTCGATTCCTGGAGACTCTGTGACCAGGATAAGTTGGTAAATGAGGTGGAACTCCTCAGCAGTCAAGGGGCAAGAGAAAGAAACATACTCCGATACGGGGTACCAATCAAGGAGGAACGTGAGAGGATGCCACCCAGGTGGGCCAATACCGAGGCTCTGCTGACAATGGCAACGCGCAAAACAGTGGATGGCGAGACTTCCCAGTCGGTCAACTTAGTCATCGACGAGGCTACTCCATCAGGGGCTGCGTCCTCACCCAACGGTACTCCGCCCATGTGAAGTGTGCTACCATCAGCAACGTATCTGCGAATCCTAGAGAGCAGACTTAATGAGATCGTGGGCACTTGAAATAAAAAGTTGGTTAGCTTACCTTGTTGTCTATTAGTTTATCCACTTTTCGATCCGTGGACTTGCGGCGCTGAATGCAGTCACACTACTGGCGCTTCCACTAACCTTTGCCTCATCATTCGCACCCACGAGCGTCTCGAAGGTCAACCGATTAGACATAATGCTCGCCAAATACCTGATGATCCAGCCTTTTTATCATACTGAGTAACTTGTCCTCGCTCTCGCTGAGAGTTTGATGGAGTTGGGCCTCCACACCGCCTTGCGCACGGGATGGCTTCCATTCAGTTCAATGCGGTTATTTTCTCCGGCGCCTTAACCCTATCCTTATTTGACCTTGCAAATCTCTGTGATTGCATGTGCTTATGCTTGTTACTCCTCACCTTGACCGAAATCATAAGTCGGGAAGTGGACGTTCGGCACATTCGGACGGTCGTCGCCCGGGCTGCTTCCCTGCCTTGAGCAGACGGTGTCTGGGCCGAAACTGGTGCAGTTATATGTGCCGGTTCACCGCAGATTCCACTGTCTTTTGGAAATACGACTCCTGCATCAATCGTGAACTCCTTGACTGCTCGCGTCCAACCGGTTTCAGACGAAGCAGGCCCCGGGATAGCAGATCTGGACGATTCAAACACTCGCTCAATCTCGCCGTTTACCTTCAGAACAATAGGAAAACTGTCAAGCTCAAATGTGTGGTCTGAGAGATCGGTTTTCTCACATGAGAATTTCCGCGCCAGACCCCGAAAGATTGAGGAAGCCTTGTTCTTGACAGACGCGAAAGAATCCGTGAATTTGGAAAGCCCCAAGAATTCCTCAGTGTCGTTGCCATCGAGAGACATTTGCCTACCTGGTGAAGTCGCTCGCTGACTCCCCTTTGCCGCGGTGGCTTTCTGCTTCGATGTCTTCTCTGAAGCCTGGCAGGTTTTCGATTGTTCGACAAGGCCAGCTTTGTACACTCTTGGGTAAGTCTCACGGAGCATCGTCAGAGCGGTGACCACCTTTGCTCGATTGAATGCGCCAGGGTATGTATGCTTCATAGTCCGCCCTCGCTCTGACTCACCTTCATCAGCAGCACCGTCGAGAAAACCCATGCCGAGTTCCTTTTCATAGATCAAGGCCTGCTGGACTCCTTTCGCGCAGCGGTTCTTCATTTTCCACCGTAAAACATCCCTTGGCTGAGGTTCATTGCTGTTCGAGAAATAGTCAGTATTTAGCCCCTTCGGCCCTGGTAACTTGCCTTTGTTACCAAGTCCTCTTTGAGCGCGGCATCCCCCACCGAGGGCGAGTATTTCTGAGAGCGATGCTCTGGTGCGCGACAGGTCTTGATCGTGTTTGATGTGGCCAGAATGGGCAACACGGGACAAGAGAGCTTCGAATCGAGACCGCTCATGACGTCGCGTGTGGAGGGTGTCTAGAAGCAGGGTTCGTTCGATGATAAGAGATTTGGATGGATCTTGGAACGCTGGGAAGGGTTCTTCCTTCTCATTCATAGGTCCTTGAGGCGGAGTGTACCATCCATCTGGAGCGGGCCATGTGACGTAGCCTGTGTTGTTGGAGCCCGAAGGAGATTGCTTAGTGCTGTTGGACAGCGAGAGTCTTTGAAGCGGAATCACAACTTCCGGAAATGTGTCGAGCTGCTGTACCACCATGTTGACGGAAGAGCTAGTCTGCAAGGACAAATCGGTGACGGCTTCCGGCTAATACATCGGGTCTTGCTCTGTACTGGTATGCTGAGAGGGATAACTGTAACAACAAACAAAAACCAGAGTGCGAACCTGCGCAAGATACAAGATGGCTAAAATCAATCAAGGGAAGTGAATGTTAGCTGAAACATGACTCTGCGCAATGATGTCAGCTGGACTATATATGAGAAACAAGTATGACGAGGTTGCTGTCATAAAGAGACAATGCGGCTGATGGAGGCGATCAACATTTGATCAAAGGACAAGGCAAAAACAAGGTTTTTTGACTAAGGTTACTATAGACAACAAGCCGCGGCCTTTGTCCCAATGTTACCCCAAAGGGCTGACGATAGATTGTCCTCACATGGGAAACAATGAATCGCAGCATGCGGCTGTTGTTTTGCGTGCATGTTCTCTTCGAACATCCAGTTCAGATTCTTGGAATTCTTTCTCCTTTTTGACCTTGAGCCCTTGTCCGTACTTGTGATCCATGGCCATTATAGTCCAGAAACCATCGTGGAGATAGTTTCCCTTGGTGGGCAGCGGGCAGTCTCGGGCACATTCAGCCAGGGCACATCCAGCTATAGCCGCGCTACAATGGCATAAATGGTGGAATCCATCGAAAAGGGGTGACCCCGAATGGCGGCGATCCTGTGCAAAATAATAAGTAGCAGAGCGAAATAATGACCAGAATACACCAAAGTACATTCCCATTCCATTAAGGATCTTGAGTGTGAATTTATGAGGTTTGTCTCTTTAGATATGAGATTGTCGGATGCTGGCGTCACGGGTTGGTAAATCCAACTCACAACAAAGAATGGCCTTACCAGGAACTCATGGACCTCATCAATCAGGATGAAGAACTTCCAATCGTGCTTGGTACGAGACCCTTGTCCGGCTGTAACTTCAAATGTTCATTTCCGATATGGATAGTTAACGCCACAATAGTTGAGGCAGAACCATCTTCCTCGGCTGTTTGGGACCCGTCCTCAGCGTCCTCAGGGTTTGGCACATCGGGCGACGGGTTTCGATCTCGTGAGGCAGTACGACAGCCACCTCGCTGTTGAGTTCGATGGCTGTCAATCAAGAGGTGAATGCCACATAGGCCCCATTGAGCATCATACACCTGGAGCGAGCCGGCTTGCAGAGAAAAGGGCAGACGGGACGGGGATCATCGGCGTTGACGGGTTGCTCCTTTGGTGAACGAGGTAGGATCGGCCTCCGCACTCACGGGGAAGAATACAATGGCGAAAGAGCAGAGATGACATGATTATTCTTTCTTTTGATGAATTTGTTGTTGTGGTGAAAATGTGCAGCGAGTTGTGAAATCTTGCCGCGCTTCAGGCTCCAAAGGCCCACCGTAGACACTGCAGGTGCGCGACGGTGTGCGAGTGCGGTAAGGCAAGTGTTACGTAATCCAACTACCGTCACCGCCACGTGATCAGCGTTGTCAGTGGAGTGACCTTTCTTTGGCGGCGCATCTGTGGCAGCGGAAGGCGGCGGGATTCTGCATCTCCAGCTCGACCCGCCATTGGGCGCTCGACTCACGCGCACCACGCGGAAGCCCCCATGAGCCCCCTACGAGTAAATGACAACCCACTAAACTAAGCAATGGAGATTTGACAGGAGGCAAACTGCAGACCGCGACCATTCATAAAACTCCCTACCCTCACATCGTCTTCTCCATGTCAGCATCGCTGCTGTTGAATTGCAGGTCCTCTTTTTGATCCTGCGCCCGGTCTTTCTTCGCTCCTCCTGTGATCTCGCCGTCAGTCTCTCCCTAATCTCCCGTTTCTACCGCCCAAGATGCCGGGCAAAACGCTCCCTACAATCACCCGCGCCGAGGTGGAACAACATAACAGCCGCAAGTCGTGCTATGTGACAATCGGGGAACGTGTCTTCGATGTGACGGACTTTATCGACGATCATCCCGGTGGCGGCGAGCTGATCCTTGAGTATGCCGGCAAAGACGTCGAGGAAATCATGGAAGACGAAGCCTCACACTTCCACACCGAGACCGCCTATGAGATCCTGGAAGAAAGTTTGATTGGTTTCGTACCCACGGATGCCGTTCTCAAGACCGCAGTGGACTCGTCGCGCCCTGACCAGGTCATCCCATTGCCTGCGACAGCCCAAGGCAA